TTATAACGCATTTGGCTCCTGCACACGTGCTAGCTCCTAACGGTGAGAGATGTTTGTTGTACCGAGGGATGTCAGAACTCTCCAGTGTGTACAAGGATTTATTGGTCATGCTCGCAGGAAGCATCATTTTGGTACCATAAAATGTCTTCCAGCGCCTTAAGCTCCTACAGATGTAGACCCTGTAATTTAATGTCGTCTGCATGTTAGCGTTCTCCTCCCCAGGCCACCCCGCTCGACTTGCCTTTACACGCCAATCAAAACCAAGAAAAATCTTTGTGCTTAGTTACCACTGCCCCTCTTCCGACTTATTTACCTATTATACAATGCATTATGTCTGGCTTTGGCCAAGTTTGTGTGGGTCAGCTGAGGTAGTTTTACATTTTAGAAAATTCCTGGGGTTCAGCTTGCGCACGGGGCCGCTTGGCCTTTGTGTCAAGGTAGGAGAAGGGATCTTATTTCCTTTCCTGAAATGTTCATCAAAAACAGACGGCCGCAGATATTTTAAATCCACACAGGCGCTGCTTATTTTTCTTGCCATTCCTCAGTCATTAACGGAGGACTCCTCTGTGAAATGTGACTCGTATCATGTCGGAGCATGATATTGCTTTTTGAATGGGATGCAGACTGGTGACCAGTCCGAGGTGTGCTCACACAGTGCTGAACCGAGCACTTTGGTTCGTCCTTGTTTTTTCAGCTGAGCTCTGTGTCATCCTTCTTCCTGTCTGTGAGCCAGTTCTGAGAAGCTAGGAAACAAGCTCAGGACAGAATGAAGGGCTAATGCTCAATGCCCCGCGGCTACTTGAGATGTTATCAGACGTACTGGTCTCTGTGGCACAAGGACACATGCTTCTTTGATTTAGCATAAAACAAAGAGGTGGATTCTCTCTGGCAAGCAGCTGTTTCTTTCTGTCTGTCTGTCTTACCGTGTGTCTGTCTGTCTGTCAGGTTGTCACAATATTACAGTTTTGATGATAGTAAGGATATTTTAAAAAGTGTTTGATTTAAATGCAGTATACTCTCATACTGTGAAATCTGTTAAAGCTCAAACTTTTTCAAATGTAGTCTCTGTAGTCTAGGCTTTTATTTTTAGCAATTTGCCTGTCTGTTGGTATACTGTCGGTCTCTCTCTGTTTATCTATCTATCTATCTATCTATCTATCTATCTATCTATCTATCTATCTATCTATCTATCTATCTATCTATCTATCTATCTATCTATCTATCTATCTGTCTGTCTGTCTGTCTGTCTGTCTGTCTGTCTGTCTGTCTGTCTGTCTGTCTGTCTGTCTGTCTGTCTGTCTGTCTGTCTGTCTGTCTGTCTGTCTGTCTGTCTGTCTGTCTGTCTGTCTGTCTGTCTGTCTGTCTGTCTGTCTGTCTGTCTGTCTGTCTGTCTGTCTGTCTGTCTACAGACTATACCAAGTGAAATTATGGGAGTTTTTTAGGAAGCAATAAAAACAGGATGGTTGCGGGAGACTGGTCTGAAATACAGGATACTTCCATGAAAAACGGAAGTGTTGGCAGGTATTGCGTACCAGTTTAATAATTATTTGATCTGCTATAGTTAGAAATCAGACTGTTATAAGCTTCTAAGTGTACGGGCTTATTATGCAGTTCTGTCGCCATTTTGTGGATAGAAAGCGTCAACCGTCTTACACTATGGCCGTCAACGAAATGGTAAATATTTTAAAATAGGCACTATTCTTGCAAATAAACTGCATAGTTGCAGTCTAAATACTTACATTCTCAAATAAAAAAGCCTCAAAAGTACATTTTGTTGTCCAACAACAGTAATTTTTGTCAAACTGCAGATTCTGCTTGTTGCTAGCTGTATGTGGGCAGAGGAATACACAAAGGGTAAAGAGGCTGTACGGGTGCAGATATTAAATATATTACGGCTATCAGTCAATCAAATACGAGAACCAGACAGAACTGTTGTGTGTACATATACCAATGACTGTAAAAAATATGGACGACGCGACAGCCCTTTTTCCCATTGAACGCCTTGACGGCAAAACGCCTGCTTGACGGGCACAAACTGTCGCAAAAGACTGCTGAAATTGGAGCCAGACATGCGCAGAAGGATTGTCTGATGGAGCCAGAGGAGGAGCCGCGAAAATGAGCAGAGTCGAGCTTCCAATCAAACGCTTTATGTAAAATCAACTACGCCCCCCGAACTTCTCAGCATGCGTTTGCTGTCATATCAACACAAATGGATGTAATAACGTTAACAAATATGAGAGTTTTATATATTCAATCGCGCCAGCTCCAGGCCGCAACACATAACTTACTCGCGGCGTCGCGGGCTGATTCCGGCTCGCATGCGGCAGCGCCTGCTCGCTCGGCCGCCGCATCTGGCTCGATTGACTCGGGCTGGAATTGGGTAGTGAGTCCAGGCATCCGGAGTAGGTCCAGCAGAGGTAACATTAGTCAGTCTGAGCTCTAAGAGATAAGTCTCCGGCAGGCGAGAATCTAGCCGGAACTGTGTTTTGCTATCTGGGTGGCTAGGCGTGTATCAGCAAACTAATAAAGCCCGAAAAAAGCCCTGAACTTAGCGAATAAACAGTGTTCCACCAGGATCATGTATGTCAGAAACTATAGTTTACTGCTGAACTCATTTTGTCATGGTAAAATAACACAGAAATCGAATAATAACATTTCAGTCTACTTCAGTCTCCTGCCGAAGCTCAGACGCCGCGCTTTGAGAAACTGTCAATCACAGCTGTCAATCACGATGACACGCCCAGCATTAAATTACTGCTAAAAACAAACTGTTTACAAAAATGAAGATCTGCACCTATTTCAGCACAATAACCAGTGCCTTAATCGACCAGAACTATCTTTTGGGACATTTTATTGCAAGTGTAATATTTTTTTTTATTTGGGCTCAAGTCTCCTTCATTAACACGGAGGAGGCGGGCTTTATGACTTGTACTGCAGCCAGCCCCCAGGGGGCGATCTAACGGCCGAAACCTTCACTCAAACGTAGGCTTGCGGCACACTTGACATATACATGTATGTATATATATATATATATATATATATATATATATATATATATATATATATATATATATATATATTTGTCTAAGTCTGTCTTTCTGTCTGTGTATATCTATTTCTCTGTCTATATTTGTCTCTCTGTCAGCCTATATCTGTCTGTCTATATATATATATATATATATATATATATATATATATATATATATATTTGTCTATGTCTGTCTGTTTGTCTGCCTGTATCTATTTTTCTCTCTGTCTTAGTACATCTATCTGTCTGTTTGTCTGTCTGTCTGTCTGTCTTTATCTCTTTGTCCATGTCTGTCTCTCTGCCTTCCTATATCTATTTGTCTGTCTGTATCTATCTGTCTGTCTGTCTGTCCATATCTATTTGTCTATGTCTGCCTGCTTGTATCTATTTGTCTGTCTGTCTATATATATTTGTCTATATCTGTATTTATGTATGTCTGTCTGTATCTATTTTTCTGTCTGTCTATCTGTTTGTATGTCTGTCTGTGTTTCTGTCTGTCTATATCTATTTGTCTATGTCTGTCTCTTTGCCTGCCTTTATCTATTTGTGTGACTGTCTGTCTGTCTGTCTGTCTATATATATATTTGTGTATATCTGTCTGCATGTCTGTCTGTATGTCTGTCTGTATGTGTATATCTGTCTGTCCATTTCTTTGTCTGTCTGTCTGTCTGTCTATATATATTTGTCCATGTCTGCATTTATGTATGTCTGTTTGTATCTATTTTTCCGCTTGTATGTCTGTCTTTTTGTATGTGTCTGTGTTTCTGTCGGTCTATATCCATTTGTCCATGTCTGTCCCTTAGCCTGCCTATATCTATTTGTCTGACTGTCTGTCTATATATATTTGTCTATGTCTGTCTGTCTGTCTGTCTGTCTGTCTGTCTGTCTGTCTGTCTGTGCATATCTATTTGTCTGTCTATTTCTTTGTCTGTCTGTGTATATCTATTTGTCATTGTCTGTCTGTCTGCCAGCATGTCTGTCTGTCTGTGTATATCTATGTCTTTGACTGCCTGCCTGTCTGACTGTGTCTGTTTGTTTGTCTCTATATTTTTTCTAGATTTCTTTCTTTTTTTCTCTCTATGTCTGTTTCTGTCTGTCTCTATCTGTGTGACTCTCTCTACCCACATGAACATTAGTTTTACTTTAGTATGGTTCAAAACCCCTAAATTATAAATTCATTCATTAATTTTCTTTTTGGCTTCGTCCCTTTATTAATCCAGGGTTCGTATTAACCGCCAACTTATCAAGCACATGTTTTATGCAGTGGATGCTCTTCCAGCTGCAACCCATAACTGCAAAACATCCATACACACTCAATCACACACATAAACTACGGACAATTTAGTCTACCCAATTTACCTGTACCACATGTTTCGGACATTTTTTGGGGAGAACCGGAGCACCCGGAGAAAACCCTCGCAAATACGGGGAGAACATGCAACCTCTACACTGAATCGCCAAGTGACCCAGCTGAGGCTTGAACCAGTGACCTTCTTGCTGTGAGGCGAAAGTGCTGCCAATGCGCCCCTATTTTAAAAATGTATTTAGTTTATTTTAATGTGAGTTTATCTCTCTGTCTGGGTATATCTTTATTTATCTGTCTACATCTTTATCTATTTGTCTATGTCTGTCTGCCTCAGTCTATATATCTGTCTGTGTGGTTATATATATCTTTCTTTCTGTCTGTCTGTCTGTCTGCCCACCTGTCTGTCTGTCTGTCTGTCTGAATATACCTTTCCCTATCTGTGTGCCTATATCTCTGTCTGTCTGTCTGTCTGAATATACCTTTCTCTGTCTTCTACCTATATCTCTGTCTGCCTGTCAGTCTATATCTCTGTGGGTTTGTCTAGTTAGTAAAAGAGATAAACACATTCAATATCCCTTTGGTAAACTAGAAATGACACAAATCTTACAGTACGTATGTCCAAATATCCAGAATGATTCTGATAAATGTTTCTATGATGTCATTCAGGGGGACATCCAGCAACTTCTTCTGGTGGCGGATCCTCGTGCAGCCTACGACTACTGTGAACACTACAGCCCTGACTGTGAAACCCCTCACCAGGACACTCCACAGGCCCAGGAACCCGAGGAAGAGGTCAGTGTGTGTGTCTGGAGCTCCCCCAGACCAGTGTGTGCGATGATGTATTGATGGATTATATATGGTCTACACCCACAGCTTCTGTCGGGGGGCTTTCTTAGGCCTGGTTTCAAAAACACTGCCAGATTTCTGAATTATTATTCACAGGGGATGTGCACTAGTTTGGTCAACTAGTGAAAACATTGTTTGAACTCATCAGATTGAGTTTCATTCTTTGGTGCATTTCCCTCTTTTTTTAAATGTCTTTATGCAGCTGTGAAGAAAGAGAGAGCCCAGCTGAATTTTTTCAGTTTATTGTTTTATTTTTTAAGTAAAAACTTTTTTGTTTTATTATCCAAACTACTGATAACATTGTAAGGCATTTAGAGCTTTTTTTCATACATTTTTTTTTTTTTAGATGTTTATGTGGTTAGTTTCAGACATTACAATACCACTCAGGGTTCCCACACTTCTTGAAAGTACTTAAAAGTACTTGCATTTCTTTTGACTATTTGTTTGGTTTAGATACAGGGCATACACATCTAGTTTCCCTATTTATAATTATTTAAGTACACTAAATGTAAATCCTACGGTTTCTCTCAAAGAAACTTAGGAAAATGATCATGTGCTCTATAGAGCTCATTCAACTAATGCAAAATTAGCTCTTTTTTTCCTGATAGAAGTGATGCCTGTCATCGCTGTAAGCAGTCTCTAACCATATCCATATGTTCTGGAGTTGCCCTCATTTGACAAATTTTTGGTCATGTTTTTTTGATACACTTAATAAATCTAATAACAAAAATTTTGCCCCTAACCCCTTCACAGCTCTTTTTTGATATTTCAGAGAGAGTTGACTTGACTGTTGTATCTTGCCAGGTTATTGTTTTTTCTACTCTTTTAGCTAGACATGCCCTTCTTATTAAATGGAAACTGGTACTTCTCCCATTACATGACATGTGGATCAGAGAAATCTTTAGTTGCATAATACTTAAGAAGTTAAAATGCTTACTTGCAGTCTCTCTTAAAGAACTGGGACCCTGTTTTAGATTATATCAAAGGCTTATCCTCTTCAGTTTAAATCAGCTCTAATACACAGTAAATAACTGGAAAGAGGAAATATTGACTCCTTAACGCAAACTTTTCTTTTCCTTTTTTTACTATTTTATTGAAAAATTGCTTAACTATCATTACTACTTTTTATTTTTTATTTTTTTTATTTTGAATTTTTATTTAATTTAGATTTTTTTTAATTTAAAAAAAAAATTCTCAGATGAAATTTTTGTTTTGAATTCATAAATTTTATTTATTTCATTTTGAGAGGATAGTGGAAAAATAAGAAAACTAAGACAGTCTGTAATTTTCCCTATGTTGTATTGTATAATACTATGTATGGTCTTGTTAAACACAATAAAATAAAATAAAATAAAATAAAATAAAATAAAATAAAATTAAATAAAATAAAATAAAATAAAATAAAATAAAATAAAATAAAATTAAATTAAATTAAATTAAATTAAATTAAATTAAATTAAATCAAATTTAATTAAATTAAATCAAATTTAATTAAATTAAATTAAATTTAATTTAATTTAATTTAATTTAATTTAATTTAATTTAATTTAATTTAATTTAATTTAATTAAAAAGTACTTGAAAATGTGGATTTAAGGCCTGGCACGTGCTTAAAAAACAAACAAAGCTCCTTGAACATGCTTGAATTAAATTTGAAATTAAATTTGTTTCTGGTTTATTTCAACAATTGTTCTCAACTGTCAAAAACACAACGAAAAAAAAAAAACTGAAACTTTCTTAAATTAAAAGTCCTACATTTAAAGCTTACCAACGCTTACCAATAACACATTTTATCAATATTTCAGATACCACAATTGAAGAGTATTGAATTCAGCAAATTTTATAAAAAAAAAAAAAGACTTTTTAAAACTTTTTGGAAATTACATTGACATTTTTAAAGGGGTGGTCCACTACAATATTATATTTTAAACTTTAGTTGATGTGTAATGTAGCTGTATAAACATAAACAACATTTCTAAATGTAATGTGATCAAAGGTCAATGCAAAGGGAGACTGTCTTTTACAGAGTTAGCTTAGCAAAGCCTACAGCGAATTAAGTTGGGGACTGCAAAAAATACATCCCAGTTAATGAAATCCCAAACGCATCTGGTTACACGCATTCACCATGCGCATACACCCTGCACAGCAAAGGGGAGTGGCCAGAGGTGCTGTAATGTTATAGCAAAGAAAGATAAACTGTCATCTATATGCTGCTAATTCCACAGAGCTTCTTCTGTTTCTGGATTTGGGCTTCTAAAGGACAAGACACAAAGAGAGAAGTGTATACAATTTAAATTTAATTATGTTTCACAGAATTACAAGAAATATATAGGTACTATTTGACAAAGCACAGCTTCCGGAATCTCTCCCAGTTCAGTTCAGGCTTAAACTGATATGGCTATCAGTTAATCTGACTGACAGTATTTACACAGTAGAGGCACAGCGCATGCTATTAGAAGCGTTTGGCTTTTCCTGGTGATGTAGAGCTGATCCCCGAATCACAGCGCATTATGTAAGCTGACCAATCAGAGCCTCTTGTCATATTTCCAAGTTCCTTGGAACTTGGAAATATGACAGTCGTTTTCCTGGCTGAGAAGCTGTATATAATCAAAGTAATATATATGATTTTTTTTTTTTTTACAAATGAAGCTTGAGGACGCATTGCTTTCCATCTAATAAACACAACCTAGCCTTAAAAAGTATACTCTGGACCACCTCTTTAAAATAAATATTAAGTATAGGTGAAATTTTAAGTAGTTAAGACTTCCATGGCAACACATATGATGTAGCTTAATTTAAATTTAATGATGAAAGTGTAAAACTTTTAATGAAAGTGTGGGAACCATGACCTGTGTTTTAACTTTAAAAGAGTTACAAAATCAGAAATTGATGGAATAACTTAGATTATTTAGATTTAGATAATTTAGAATTTTTTTGCCACCGCACATGAAAGCATTTGTTTGTTCTGACCAATTGTCAATTTCTGGCAAAAAAAATTATCTTTATATCAATAATTTTATTCAAAATTAACATTTTCTACACTAACATTTTGCCCAAACTTAGAATTTTCAGTTAATATACATAATGTAATTATAATTTTACATGCACCAGAGTTAATTTCACATATTTGTCATGGTAACATTGACATTTGTTTTTGTCTAAAAGTACTCAACTTGAATTGGATTTGACATGCCTATCCCTGCAGCTCTGTACAAACTGCCCTTTATTTACTCAGTCCACAAGATTGATTTTGAGAAATTAAACTCTCTTGCTAATCCCAAATTGAAACAGTGCGGTTTGCCTGGTTTTTGATATCTCACTTTTTTTCAGTGCGTCAATATTTTTCCAATAATATTTCTCAGCATAGCCAATGAGCTCACGGTGGAAACTATTTTTCTCCCTGCCACAGAGTCTGAGCCCACTTTTTGACTGGCGTGGAAATTTATTTTTTCTTTAATGACTCCTGAATGCTTGGTGGGAAAACCTGGTTTCTCCCTCCACAGCAAGCTCTGGAATACCTGGAAAAGTGAAGTTATGTCTCTCAGCTGTTAAAGAACTCTTGATTATAACGTGATGATAAATCACTGAAACTGCTGCTTGGGGTATTAAGAAGCTGCGCCACAACAGGGGATGGAAAATGTAGCTTCATCTGTCCTGGAGGACGCTGGAGAAAAACCAATGGACAAATTAGCAGATTAATACGGAGAGTGGTTAAAAACATATTACATAACGTCACAGTCAGCTTTTTAAAGCAGTTAACAGATAGCTTTGTGATGGGTGTTAACTTGCTATTGCTAAAACTCACATCTATTGTGTGATGAAGACCAGTTTTGAATGGAGGCCCATTCTTTTCCCATGCAAGAAGCTCCTGTGTGCCTTACCAAATGCTTTATTACACGTGTGGGAAACAGGGACACGCTTTTAATGGCCCAGGACGATATTTATGCCTTTCATCCAGCTCGCTGGCTACAGCCATGGCAGACTCCAAGCCTGGCAAGACCCCTTAATGCTGTAAACTGACTCGCAGCTGGATATTTCTTCCTTTTCGCTTCTCTTCTGCAGCCAGTGGAACGCAGCCAGTCCACCAGGCCTCAGTTCTTTTTTTTCTGTTATTTTTATTAGCTCAGCTGATGTGCTGGGACTTCAGCTCAACACTTTTTTTGATGGACAAAGGCACATCACAAAATGCTTGTTAACTTAATCTGCCGTACCTCACCTTATGATCGTGCGCCTTATTAGCATCGGACAGGGAAACGAGCGCAGAATTGTAAGCGTATGTTTATGATTGCTTGTTTATGAATGGCATTTTGTTATTGGAAAGGCTTTAACAATAGCTCTTTGTTGGATTGCTAAATTGACTGCCATTTAAGTGCGTTAACAACTTTCAAAAACCTGGCTCCGGGGTGTTACATTTAATAAGTGCACTTTATGAGAAGCAGAATCAACCAGTAAATTATTTATAAATTGCAAAATGCCATCTGTGGCATGCAGTGTGAATAACATACCATCTAGATGAATAAAAGGCATAAATGCTGCACTCATGTCATTTAAGAGTTATTTTTATTAGAAAAGTGAAAACTTGGAGATATTAAATTGATAGTTTAGACTATGATTGGATTAAATCATTTCAATTTAGCGAAGCTATAAACACATTCCTGTTACTACTCATTAGCAAGTATACATGTGGCAAATATTTAAGTCTTAAGATTTAAGTCTTTGGCAGTTGTAAGCAACCTAATGATAGTGTAATTAATTATATTTCTTTCTCTGTGTTTTGATTTTACTTATTTATTTATTTAGGCGGTTCATACCTCTGAAATAGAGACTAAGCCAAAGGAAAATGAATGAAAGAATGAATAGATGAGTTAATTTATTTTAATTTATTCATGTTTATTTTTATTTTCAATGTTCTTCAATGAATATTGAACAATTATCTACTAAAATATCAATATCAGTAATTACATGCGACTTATAGCGTATTAGCAGGTTGCATTATTTATTTATTAATTCATTTATTCTATTTACTTTTAATGCATTACTATATACCTAAAATGTCTTGTGAAACCTCAAATTAATCTAAGCCATTTGAAATGACTAGTTTGGTTTTAATGCTGTAGATGGGCGAGATCAAAGAAATGAACGTTTTTTTGAGCAACAAATTGAGCTAAAAAGGCTTTTGTAGTTGATCAGCAATCAACAGCATACTCGCATGCAGTGTTGGAAAAGTTACTTTTGAAAGTAATTACATTACTTACACTACTTAGTTACTTGTTATAAAAAGTAATGCATTTTATTACTTTTGAGTTACTTTTGTGTTACTTCTTACCTGACTGAGGTTTGATCTCTTTCAGAACTTGCTGGTGTTTTTTCCACCTTCTTATATGACCCATAGCTTCATTTTTCTTTAAAAAATGTAAATAAAATTATATTTTGAGAATTTTCTGAGCCCAGAGTTGTATAAACAGATTAATGACAGCATTTTAAGTAATGTGTTTGCTACTTTTGAATGGCGTGTTATAAGTTAACTAAATTAAATATCCATTAAGATAAATACTGCAATAAAACCTAAGAGTACTAAAATGAAATAATTTATTAAGGCAAAAACAGATTTTAAACCTTAAAAGTGTTTAATAACAAAATGAACAGTAAGGCGATAAAAAAAAATCCTCAAATCACCCTATTGTCTGCATACTAGTGGGCGCAGCCATTTAAATCTTTTTGGCACCAGACTTCCGGTCTTATTTACTTCCATTCATTTTTACACATTAAAAACAGCTCATAACACTGCTTAATGTTGCAAACTAATGTTTTCCTATTATATTATTCTGCTTTGTCTATATCTTCATAAACACTTGTTTGCAGAGCAAGTAGTTTGACTTTGTTTTCTGCCGTTTATTATTCCTAGTCATTTCTCCCATTGAAGTTCTAAAACAATCGCAAAAACTGTCACACTTCCGCATTGAAAATTAAGGTAAATAGACTGCTTCGCGTGGCCTTAACAAATGTGTAAATCGTTTTCCAAAAGAAGAAAAAAATCTTACCATATTACAAAATGTACTGTCTTTTACAGTAGCGTTAGAGAGTGGCTGCATCCCCTCAACAATAAAAGCAATAACTTTTTTTTTGTTTAGTCGAATTAACTGAGTTGTCGTGAAACGGTTTGCATCTTCAGTAAGTACTCTGACTCGAAATAAACCCATATCAGTTAGTAGAACAGTTATTTAGTTAGTGGATTCAATTAGTAGAACAGTACACTGACTCATCTGCAGTGAAAGGTCATTTTTATTCTGCAGTTTCTTTTGTAAAAGCCAGTTAAGCAAGGTAAAAAGTAACTCAAATAATATTACTTATTTTTTAAAGTAGTGAGTTAGATTACTTTGAAAAAGTAATATTATTATGTATTGAGAATTACTTATATCGTTACCACTAACACTGCTTACATGTATTTTGAATTATGAAAATTTTTACTAACTTGTGTGTTGTGTCATATGCCATGAATGCATTTTCCATTTAATAAACAGTGACCTCAAAACAGTATTTGAACATATAAATCGCTTAAAAAATGTGTAATTATTCAGCACTGTTGCAGTAATACAAAATATCAAATGGCTGGGTGTTTATTTTTTTTTTACAACATTAACATTTAATATAATGCAAAATTACACAAACAATTCTAAATGTGTAGGGTTAAAAGGGATAAAATAATAGATATTTTGTTGAAAATGCTGGCCACGACAAAAAAATAACCCTTGCTATTTTGTCTGTGGAAATTTACACATTTTTTTTTTGCATATAAAGTATGCAGAAAGTGTTCAAATATGTTTTGAGGGCTCAATAATGGTGAACAGCGACTTGGATTCAAGTCTTTCTTTATAACATGCATTCATCTCTCTCTCAGTACAATCCCGAATACTCAGATGCATATGGGTTCTATGAATACACAGATGAAGTGACTGCCACTGAAAATCCCACTGACAACGTTCGTACTGACACCAAGGTAAACAGTCTGGCTCATCTGAATGGCCAAGGTGCATATCAATCACTGTGGGATTTTCTTGAGCCCGCCCACTTTCACTCTGTGTGGTCTCTGATTTACTGCTCCCTAAATCTCGTATTTCTGTTGACCTCATTTCCCTCGTCCTCCGCTGTCCTCACATGCCATCCCTTTCATTCTATTCTAATCATCACTCAAATAAAGATGCAGTTTCTATTTTTGCTAAACCTACAGTTTTTGAGAACATACATTAAGCTTAATGCTGTGCTCGGTGTTGTTGTGTTTTTGTGAAGAAGTTTCTTCCAGTTTCTTTTCTTGGCCAGTGCTGTATTAATGTCTAATGAATTTTACACTATGGCGAAAGTGATAGAATTTCTTTTATATTTGCTAGGAAACTTTGATTTCTTTCATAATAATTTAAATCATCTACTGTTATGCTGAAATTGTAAAAAATTCACCAGCCAGCTGTTGTAAACTTGACATCTTGATCCAACTTTTACTTACATTAAACGTTTATGTTTCAAATTCAGCTACAAAATGCTAAAAATAAGGGCCTACTGTAAATATTGGAACATTCATAATGTTTTTGTCAAAATTTGTCTCTTCTTTCTGATTTATATGGATCTTTTGTGTGATGTTTACTTATAGCCCAGCACTGTCGACACTGGAGACTACTATGTTGAGCAGGATTACGGCACTGAAGCTCCTTCTGTTTCCAATCCAGCCAATGAGGTAAAGATCTTCATCAGACGTGGATGAAGTATACACAAATCCACTTGAGTTTAAAGTAATATAATATTAAAAAAGAAGTACTTTATATTTTATCAGGTACTTCTTTTGAATTTAGCTTGAGTCAAAGTGCAGTAGAGTTGAGTTTTAGGTATTCGAGTGGGTTACAACTAGTATGAATTAATCCAGATTCATTTCAGAGACTGCGATATTTGAATGAATCAACCTTATCAATGATTAAATGATCAAAAGATTTAATTTACAAATTAGATTGACAGTATTGTGTAACCAACATCATGCTAGGCTTCATATTCAGTATGAGCTTATTATTATAAAACAAACAAATCATATGTTAAAAAAAAGAAAGAGAAAAGCAGAGGTCTGATAAGATAAGATAGAAACCTGTGGGATGCTCTTTTTGACAACTCCATAGTCAGACTAATTGCTCAGAGGTTTGCTCTGACTAGATAATTTGATTTGTTGAGAAATTAATTGGATGAAATGCTTTGACAGGATCAGCTAAATCACTCTGAACTTTTATGATTTGCTCTGAACAAAATCATAACATTGTCTGGCTCATTTAAGTCAAGACAAGGCAAGGACATTTTATTTATATAGCATATTTAGTAAACTATGGTCATTCAAAGTGTTTTACAGAAACAGGAATAAAAGAAACAAGTGTAAGAAATAAAAACATCAAAGAATAAAAATTATTAAAATCTGAAAAAAAAAACAGGCTAAAATGTAAAAAACAAAAAAACAAAACAGATTTTAAGGAATGAAAATAAAGATTTAATAGTGTGATCTATCGGATGTAGCATAGCGCTCATTTAGTAAAGGCACCGCTAAATCGATGTGCTTCAAGCCTTGATTTGACTGTACCTAATGTTGGAGCATATCTAATCATTTCTGGAAGCTGATTCCAGCAGTGGGGGGCATAGTGGCTGAAAGTGGAATATTACCCTGCTTTGACAGAAATCAGAAATAGCTGGAAACTCAGTCTGAACACATTGCTAAAATCAGTGAGTTGTTTACTTTATACTCAATTTGACAAAACTCATTTAGAATAAATATCAAGGTTTGATATTGTGTGATTTCAAAAACAGAGCATTTCAATGTCTGTTAAAGCTTAATACAGTGTTTAGATTACCATTATAGCCACTAGATGGATCAACTTGAAGTTTAGCATGCACAGAATTTGTTCATAGTAGACTGACATACTAGCCATTAGTTAATTAAATTTGAGCACTCATTAAAAACAGTTAACAATGGCCAATCAGAATGTAACTCGGTGGGTATGTTAAACTTATGGGTGTAGATATTTTAATTTCTTTGCCATTTTGATTTCTTGCAGTGTGTAATTAAACGTTTGTTAACTTAATCTCTTTGTTAACTCTAATAACCTAATCATATATTTCATTGTTAAATAAACTAATTACAGACTTCCTAACTGATAAACTTTAAACTTCTAAAATGCTTGAACCCTATAATTGCTACTTGCAGCTATTTTATTATTATTATTATTATTATTATTATTATTATTTATTTTTTGTAATTTTTTTAATGAAATTATGATATTTGATATTGTATACGTATGATATTATACTTTGGGATATAGAAAATTAAGCAATAACTTGAAAAGGGTCTGGCTGCATCTGCACTGTCAGACATGCACTTTCAGAAACTACTGGCTTTTAACATCTACACCTAACCCAACCCATCCTTCACAATGTCACTTGCTCTATTGATTGCCCGAGATTGCATGTCTGGGACTGCATTTGCAAGTCTGCAGCCATACACTGTTGCAAAGTTGTCCTAAATAAAAATAATAATTAAAAACATAAAGTAAGGAAAAGTTGAATGCAGTAACAATTCAAAGACTAAATACTCCCAGTGTCGACCACTGGTTGTGTTTATTTTCCAAGTAGGAATTGATTGATTTTTAAATGTATTTGGATTAAAATTATTATTTTCCCAGGGATGGGTTGCAGCTGGAAGTGCATCCGTTGCATAAACACTCCACTCATTTTATTATTAGCTGACTGATCGTACCACAGATTGTGAAGGATTATCTGATTTTATAGTTGCACAATCAAAAAAACAACAAAAAAACATAGTGTAATGATTCTGTCACAGTCTGTTCTGAGATGTTGCATAAATAAAAAATCCAAATAAAGAACATCCAGATGTAACTGGAACAGGATGTCTTGCATTTAGCCATGGCCAAAAGTCTGCTCCAAATGATATACCTACAGGGGCTGACGTCGCCTCGTAAAGCACTCCTGGTATTCAGTTCAAGAGCTAAGCTTAAATAGTGAGAATTTTTAAATATATGTGTGCATATATCACATATGTAAAGTATGTTTTTATTTAAAAAATTGGGGGGTGGGGGGGTCTGCTGAAAAGTAGAGAGCACAAGTGCAGCATTTTGTTAGATTAGGGTGATATTTTAATAAAGTAAGTTTATGATTTCATATTGAAAATAATAACACAAAGATTTGAATTTGATCATATTGCAAGCTTTAGTTTTTAACTGGAGTGGATAAAATATAATCTAGTTCACAGATCTCATTATCAGTGTACATGTTAAAATTTTATTTTTGTAAAAGTTTGTAAAAGTTATTTAAACAATCATTAAACCAATTAGTAATAAGGAAAGTGTCAATAATGAACAGTTATTTGTATAATTATATATATTCTATTTATATATATATTCTATATATATATATATATATATATATATATATATATATATATTCTATATATATTCTATATATATTCTATATATATATATATATATATATATATATATATATATATATACAAAGTACCCGTACATACAGACACATTGCAGCGATTATTGAAAAAAGATAACCTTGGATGACCTTAACTTGAATTAAGATTATATATGTATGTACGTATGTATGCAAGTGTATATATTGTATGTATGTATGTATATATATATATATTATTTGGAAAGCTATCCGTTAAACAGCAATTGAACAGATATTAGGCCAGTTGACACATTTGAATATAAAAATGGTCTCATTTTAAATTATTCAGCGCATTTTTTTTTATTTAATTTCACTAGTGGAGCTTCATCAAAAAAGTATTAATTTAATGCTTGGGTCTACACATGGACTAACCTCCCTGTTCTCTTAATGCTCTCATCTACTGTCTGCCCTGCTGATCAGAATCCATCACCGAAAGAGGAAATAGTAGACGACTACATTACAGGCGTAGAACAAGTTGGCGTGGATGCCACCGCCGCCACCGAGGAGAGTGTGAAATATGTGGAGTCCAAAAGCACAAATGGAGGCGAAACCGAGGACTTTAAGGAATACGACCTTAACACATATGATGCAAAAGAGATAGACCCCAGCAATTATGATGATTCCTTCTATGACTACACTAATGGAGTAAAACCCACCGGATCAACCTATGAGGACGAGATTGGACCTGGACGACCTGCGGAAACTGAGGTCACTGAGAGCAATGTGAGTTCACTTCTCTATATATCTCTATGGCCTTGTGTACATCTGTATTAGGATGCATTTTGGTCTATTGCATAACAAGTAGACAGGAGAGACACATTCCTGTTCACACCTGCTGTGTAAATCTGTGTTTTGTTGACTTTTGACAAGTTTTCTGATAAAGGGTATATGGGTAATGTGAAATATAGTATATTGAAAAGTATAATGGGTAATTGTTCAAGCAGTGAAATCAATTACTTATACAATATGCTTCATAAATTGAATAATATAATTACAAGTACACTGTTATATGTTATTTATTTATTACCTTTCAGGTCAGTTGCTAATTAAGCATTTATATAGTTTTAAGATGCATAGACATTTTTGTCACGCTACTTAAAAAAACAACAACGACAAGGATCCAAGATGCATGGTCTTAAAGGACCGGTGAAAAACAGAGAGTGCAAAAAATAGAACAGATGCGTGGATCTGTATGAAAAAGCCAGTGAAGTCCAGGTCAAACTATCTCTCTGGAAGCAGATGGCACACCCAAAAACACAGAGCATCCTGACGAAACACAGAGCTCCATCAACGATAACGAACTGACAAAAATACCAAAAACACAGCGCACAGATGTAGGCATGATAATTACCCACAGCTGATGCGAATGATCAGCACAGCTGATCAGCAAAACAAACAATCACGTGACTAAAGCAGAACGCTACTACAAGGCACATGAATGAAACAAAACAAAACCATGTGACAATAACAGAGACAAGTGGAAATGCGCACAACCTGCAACCATGACACATTATAGAGTACATTTAAGTTCATTTAAAGGTTCAAATAAGTTCAGTTATTATTTAAAAATCACATTCATAAGGTGTTTAAACATAGTTGTGTGGCAACGGTTTGTGAATATAACCAGCTTCTAATGGCACAAATTTACAAATTAGTTAATTGTATTTTTTTCAGTCTGCAGAAACACTTTAAATTACATTCTGTCATCAGGCAGGGGAAAGTCTCACAATATCTCCCTCATTAACATAGGACGTTAGTCTTGTTTTTGAATCTGCCACTATGCTGACACATAGGCTATTGTAGCTCCGCCCTCTTCTGAAAAAAAAAACAGGACAATTTCATTTGAATTTAAAGCGACAGTCACCAAAACAGCACAAAAATCAAATCCTTAAAGGGACAGTTTCAAAGAGTTATACAACTATAGTTCTATGGTATTTTTAGCTGAAATTTCCCTTACACACTCTAGTGATATCACAGACTTATTTTACATCTTGTAAAAAGAGGTAATAGGTCTGAATATTTTAGAATAAAAAAGTAATTCAGTTAAGAGTGATTACGAATAAAAAAAAAACATTTTCAAGGGAACGGGCATTTTCATCATCCAAAAAAAGAGCAATTTTTTTGTAAAATTGTTTGCTGTTTTGCATAATGTAATATGATTAACAGAACAATAGTGAGTTGATTCATTTAATAAAACATTCAGATACATATATTCATCCAAAGAAAGAGAGCTGCTGTTTGTTAATTAAGAGCTATTTGTGAAATCAAATTTCAAGTCAAATGTTATTTACTTTTTGTAAAAGAATATCTTTAAACTTTTGACAACATTAACTTTTGGATTCCAGGCTTTAAAATATATCTATTTATATATTTTCACCTGTTTGAGAACATGAACATCTACACCATGAACACATTCTGATCAAATACATTTTGATGACCTCTAGAAATTTTCAAAAGTGGACAACGTTAAAACATTTTAAACTCCGTTTACACCAGTATTTAGCTTTGGTAAACTTATGATCAAATCAACAAAAACACATCCTACTACCAGGTTTAGGCAGGGCCTACATTGGATTAAATAAAATGAAATCTAGATTTTTTCTTCTTTATAATTATTACTCTAATGTTGTCTAATTAGTAAACATAATCCCTATTATTTGCCGTATGTTTTCAGTATGTCTGCTGACTCTAGCCGTTTTGCTTGTGGTTGCTGGAGACAGGAAATGACACATCATCTACTGTATGCGATTGCAGTGTTGATCTGTTCAATCTTGTGATTTATTTTCACATTTTAACACAAGTAGTCATTCACACTGACCACACTGGCTTTGTAGGCTGTAATTTCTGGAGAAATTTCCCACCAAGCAATTTTTTGTTCAATGGATTTCTAATAGACATCTAAACATAGACGGCTTGGCTAAACCAACTATACAGGCTGTCAATGAAAATGTAATAGATGGATAAGAATAGCCATTAAATAGACAGATTAGACACACTTCACGTGTAGTCATTCATTTCTGTCTATTTGATTTGTTTTACAAAAAAAAAAATTGCATGTTGGGATATTATCTTGGTTCACAACCAGTGTTGTCAACTTTCAGAAGACAAATATGAAGCTTTAGAAACAATTGCTGCTTGTTCAAATTACTTATTTAAAAAGAGCTAATACAATTTTAAAAAGAAAAAAGAAAAAAATAAGGTTCATTCAACCTAAATATGTGAAAATTTTATTTGACTTGGTCAATTTCTGGAACAAGAAATTGTGTAGGTGTAACTTTTTTTGGGTAGTGAATGTGTATACAGTAAAAAAAAATGCATGGTTCCACATAAACGATTTGTGTTGAGACAACATGCAGAAATTAAGATAGCCTATTAGTTTTTAAAATATTTTAATGGACTCAAAATAAAACAATTAAGTTCCCCCTAAAAAACAAAATATTGTGTCGTTTCAGCGAGTTTAAAAAATCAGCAAACACATTTTTTTGTCTAGTTTCCAACATGCTTTTTATGGGATTTTATTAAGAGGGGGAAATGTTAGTTCTGGGATCAGTCTCAGTCAACAGTTGTTGTTAAAGCTGTTGCTAAGTTAAAACTCCAATAAGTAACAGAATATTATGATTCTCCAACTATGGTGACTGTAATGAATTGCCTCCACAAGAGAAAACACAATGAGCTTAATTCACATTGTAATTCAAGTGAAAGTGATGATTTGACATCATTGGTTCAAAATGAATTTTTGTCTTAGGTTCCTCAATTTACATGAATGGTAATGCATGTCATAATTAAACCAACACCAAAAAAAAAGGCTTGTCCTGTTTTTTGTTGTTGTTTTTTTTTTAATACTCCATAATCTGAAACCTGCAGCTTATGTTTTTAATAGAAGATGCTTGTGTTAAATGAGCGTAAAAAATAATTTAATTACATATAAAAAAAAAAAACACTAATAGTTATCACCGTATATTTTCCCAGTTGATTGATTATATTAGACATTGCAAAGGAAAATTGTATTACAAGTTTTCTAAAAAGATTTAAAATATGCAATTAGCAATTATTGCTTTAAATATTAACTACTATGCATGCATGTCATACAATTCTGAACTTTAAATGCAGTCATATTCAAATGAATTCAGTTTTAGACACATTACACTAAACTTTTTAATAGAGGAGAGTTGGTGGATCTTATTTTATCCCTCTATGATTTAGAAAATACTGCAAATAGCCAGAAAACAACACCAAAAAAAAAAAAAAAAAAAAACATAATAATAATAATAATAATAATATTATATATATATATATATATATATATCGGTTTAACATATGAATAAAGGTATACATCTGTATATACCTTCATAATACTGATGTTATTATAAATTGGGTGCTGATGAAATGGCATTTTATGTTTCATTGGAGAACTCGTTTGGATAAAAACAACCTTTAAATACATGTTGCAGTTGAAATTTACTTACACAGATTAATAAAGACGAAAAGTCTTTCTAATCATCCTCAAAGTAGTTATGTTCTCCACTTAGCTTTATAGAGTGACGCAGTCCATTTCTGGCATTAGCTTTAGTGCTTAATGTACTGTTTTACAATTGTTTGGTCTACAGAAGCAGTGCTTGCTCTGTCATTAAACCTCCATTCGCCTGTGTTGTAGGTTGGTGGTGGTTATGGTGGAGAGAAGGGGCAGAAAGGTGAACCTGCAGTCATTGAGCCGGTAGGTAAACTCTCTGCATGAAACTTTTACAAGAACCAAAGGGAATGCAACTACTGTAATAATATTACAACAGCTTTTTTCTCACTAGCTTGTCAGTTCAAAATAGGCCAGGCTGCTAATTGTTATGTGAAAAAGTAATGTATGATTAAAAAAAAAAAATGTATTACATTTACTACCGTTCAAAAAGTTTTTAAAATGTTTGAAAGAAATCTTTAATTTGAACCAAAGCTCCATTTATCTGATTAAAAAAAAATAAATAAATCTAAATAAATCAAAAAACAAATTAAAATCATTATATTGTTAATATTTTTCAAATCTCATTTAATTTTAGAATAACTTTATATACTATATAGTAAACAATTTTCAATTCTATATAAAAAAAATATGTTAATAAATATGTTAATAAATATGTATTTAATTTGTGCTCTTGCATTATTTCGTTCTGCTTAATATTTTGATATGAAATTACATTTTACTTTACCTGATGTTTTGCTTACATTTATTTGTTTCGTCATTGATGAATAAAAAAAACTCATAAAAAATATACTATATAATGATATACTATATAATTATTCAACAAAAATATGAAGCAGCACAAATGTTTAAAACACTGATGATAATAATTATGAAAATAATAATAATAATAATAATAATAATAATAATAAAGCCAAAAAATAATAAAGCCAAAAAATAATAAAGCCAAATAATAAAAACAAATAATAATGTTTAGCATTAAATCATCATATTGATGCCATACGATCCTTAAGCAGTCATTAGAATAGTTTGTGATGAAATGTCATTACTGTCACTTTTTTGTTTTGATTTTGATTTATACTGCTGCAGCTTTTATAACAAAGAGATAAAAGACTTAAAGATGTTCAAAAAAACAATCAAAAGATGAATGTTTGAGTATAGTTAGTTTGCGGGGTGGATGATGATGTTTTATTTTATAAGATATTGTATTGTGAATAATTTTGTTCCTGTTTTAAAATGCGGAGATAGCATTTGTTTTATGCATTAACTGTATTTTGCAGCCATACTTATTTTTTTAAACAACGAGGACCACAATGGAAACAAGCCCAGGGCTTTATTGTGATTTTATCCTTGACAGTTTTATTGCTAAATGTATGGCATACTTGTATTTTTGTGCAGTTTGTCTAAAATCTGTCAAATATATATTCAATTCAATTCAACATGGAAGCATACACATGTCTTCCACCTAATTATTCTTTGTACAGTAACAGAAAGCTGGTATCAGTCCAGGAAAGAAGATTTAAGAATGAAAATATCAGCCTATTTTTCATCTGATTTGGACATCGGTTCCATTATCCTCCATTTGTTGAACTTTTTGGAAAACGTGCAGTTGGTTTACTTGGACTAAATGAGCCACATCTTCGGGTCCCTCTTGGTGCTTAGCTGATTTTCTTTTCATTTCTTTTTTCTTTTTTTTTCACGTCTCATACTGTGAGATTTACGGCCTGCCCAGCATGCTACCGAACTGATGTTTTTCTTCCTTTCTCCCTTTTGATTCTTTTCAGGGGATGCTTATAGAGGGACCCCCAGGACCACCGGGGCCCGCCGTGAGTATCACCTTTTTCCACACTCTTTTCAAAAATATCTGGAAAATTTCAGCACCGACTTGGCACGTCTGTTTCTACATGTATTACGTTGCCTTTGACGTTTCACATGTCATTTAAGGGCCTCCCCGGCACTCCAGGCATACAAGGCTCCCCGGGCCTCCATGGAGATCCAGGTGAAAGAGTAAGTTGATGTTTACACAAAAAAAATCTCAAATTTGGGTTGCATACCATTTCTTATGTCTATTGTTCATGTTAAGACATCTTTCACATATTGTAGATACGCTAGTTGTAGGTACACATTGTCTTTCCACAAGGCGTTTATTAGACTTTGACTTACGTATACATAAAGACAGATCGATTGTAAATTTGACATTGTTTAAAGCATCGAGAGATTACATTAATGGCAAGCAGCACGTCGAAACGTTGCGATCGGGCAGATCTGCAAATTAGAAAGCCCAGAGAGGCCTAGGTGAAACCAGATCTGCCTGTAAATCCTCAGTCTAATAACACTTCCAGAGGAGCAGACCTTATAACCTCTCATGCACATTAACACATACTCATTCTCCAATAGATCCTTATGTCCGCTGCTGTTCGCGCTGTTTTTCTGGATTTTAAATGTGCTCATTCGATTACTGTCTAGAGAATAGCTTAATCACTTTGCAATTAAAAGGTTTTATCTGACATTTATGAGAAGGAAAAAATATGTTATTCATGTTCTTAATTTGTTTAATCAGCTTATTTACATTTTATTGTTAAAGTTTTTTGAAACAAAAAAGTTCTTTCTACAAATTTGTACTCTAACTTAATTCTATAAGCTTCTATTTGTGAGCCAATCAGCACTTTAAATGAACACAAGGACCAATCAGGATCATGCAGAGGACAGGATTAGTGACATTTTAAGTCAGGTTTAAGTTCATGCAGTACCACTAGCAGATTTAATATTGTATATAGTGCTTTGGTGAAAAATTAGGATAATGCATTTTCATATAGGAAGGTGAAAACTAATTTTTACAGAGATAAAATAAAAATGAAATAAATAGTCTGTCAGCATACTAATTTAGAAGCATTTTATGACAAGTGAGAGATAAAATGTAAACATTTTTGATGTTTGTAAATACTACTTTTATTTTTTTGCCTAACTTTAACTAGATAAAAATAATATTTTCTAAAATAAAAATAAAAAATCAACGTGAAATGTAATTTTTTCATTTATATTGACACATTAGTCTGGTTTCCATCCTAACGTGTAGCAAATATTTTCAAAGTCTGTAAAAAAATCTATTAAAAATAAATGCAAATGTGTTTCCATCAAGTTGTTAGAGTGGCTGACTGCGGTATTGGTAACCTAGTAACCAACAGTAAACAAAGCAAGCATAATAGACATTAGCCCCTTTCATACTGAAAATTACCGGAAATTTTACAGAAATTTCTGTATGTGTGAAAAGCCCTTTTTCGAAAATACCGGTAAATTCATTCCGGCAGTTTTCAGCAAAGAGAAGTTGTAATATTACAGGTAATTCAACAGAATGCTGGGTTGTGTGAACGCAGAAGGAAAACTGCCGAAAAGAGCGTTTAGATTAGAACACGCTGACGTGAGACGTCTACTCCAGCCAATAAAACATTCAGACGCATTCCCATCTGCGCTGTTTATGAAAATAAAAGCCTTTGAATATTTTTCCAGACACATTTAACTGCTAGATGTTAGTCAAATAACGTTTCTATAATAGTGTTTCTTCTCAATGTCAACGGTGTAAATTGATGAAATGCTTGTGATAAACCGCTGTTTGTTGACCTTCAAGCACTGCTTTAGGTGCTAGACGCATGTGCATGTGAAGCAGCTGGTGAGCGCCAGCACACACACATATTATCTACATCTCAACATGCGAAAGCATTCCTCCATATGTTTTCATCGAATTCGTTCACAATACTCATTCATCCACAGAATTGGTAATATAGTCAGATGTGTACACATTTAGCTGCGGTTAGCGCTTCTGCATTTGGATGCCTATAGAACAAAAGTAGCTCTAGGAACCTAAAGTTTTAAAAAAGTGAAATCATCAACATAAGCCTGACCTTTCTGTGTTTACAAATACAAACACAGCCGTTTAGATTTCTGGTTAATGATGTCAGAATTTACCTGTATTTTTGGAATGGATGTGTAAGCATTTTTTTCTGGAACATCCTTGCCTTTGTGAACCACTTATAAGCTTTTTTTGAATTTACCAGTAAAGTTGTTCCGGTAATTTTCTGGATATTCACTGGTATTACTGGTTAGAAAGGGGTTAATGATATTTATATAAACCCTTGTTTTACACAAGTCCAAAACTTGTTTTCAATTTTCAGAATTTTTATTGCAAATTTGGCATTTTCCACACTCATCTCTCATGTGATACTTCAAAATGCGCATTAAAACATGGCAATGGAAACCCAGCTGTTGATGCAACACAAACTTTAATATAATAAAACATATAAATAAAACATAATAGATTTAATAAAATAACAATTAAATGTTTAACAAGATAAAACCTTCAAATTTAAAGCGCAGAAATTTTAAACTTAACTTAAATTTACATTTGACTGCTAAATATCCTCACTTCCATATTTGAGAGGATGATTATGATATTGTACATTTGGAATACATTTTGTCTTTCTGTCATTTCCTTGTAAACAACACTCGCTATAAGAAAATGCAAACTTGCTATAAGAAATGCAAAACCTGTGAAATATCTCATTTCAAAACCTCCGAATGCAAACATAACAATACAATCCCAAGGAGGCCATACAAACAACATACATACAAACGTACAAACTTTACCCTTGCAGTGCATTCTCGGGAAAGGACAATACTCCCAACACCACTGACCTGCGTCTTTCAGCACAAAGAGCTGTTTGTTTGCAAGGGGAAGTGACTTTTCCAGTGTTCTTTGATGTCCATCAGTTCCTCCTCGTATAACTCTCATAAAGCTGAAAATGCATAATCAACAGCAGTGGTCACTTCCCCTCACCTTTTGCTAAGCACATCCTCTTTGCTAAATATACAGGAGCGCTAGGTGTGTATTTGTTACACAGAAAGGACGTTTGCCCAGCCTTCAAAACACACACATACACTCAATCGCACAATTACACCGTCATATGGGAACAATTTAAAGTGAGCCGTCTACTAGAGGAGCGTGATGTGCCTGCTAAAGAGATCTCTTCGCAAACTAGCTTAGCAGCATTCCTTCATAAGTGTACTAGCGTTATATAGTCCTCCCTGCTTTTCTTGTGGGGTGTCAGTTTCATTACGAGCACACACAAATAAACAGTTCTCTGAAAGGAGCTATAAACAAGACAAAACATACATAAAGCGTGGTATAAATATCAAGCGGAGAGTATTATTATGGGATAATGATGGGGCTTTAGCACATTAGCTATTTTTGATTTGGCCGCTGTGGAAATCTGCTGTTTAGGTGCAGTGTGTGCAACAGCATTTTTCCCGAAACTATTTACTCCAGCTTTTTTGGGATTTTGAGTGGATTTATGTTACCTTCCTAACAATGCAAAATTATAACAACACTTTGTTTTTGCTTTTCCCTTTTGCTTTTTTGATACGTATTTGTGCAACTACACTTATTTCTTAATATTTGTTATATTGCTACTTTATTACTACTTTATTAATACTTTATTTGGATGTCTCCCAATGGGACACACCAGTTCCACAAACAAACACAAGACTATTTTAAAAGTGACAATTCTAATTTTTTATTGTCTATGCTTAAAACCTTTCTTATTTTAATACTGTACATAATTGTCAGTGTTGGGTAAGTTACTTATAAAAAGTAATAGATTACAAATTACTGACTACAATTGGAATATTGTAATCCAATTGCATTACTAATTAGTTCATGTAAAAAGTAATCAGATCACTAATTACTTTACTTTGAAGTTACTTTTAAATCATATAAAATATACCTGTAACAATAGAAATAAACTGCATTTCTTGCAGTGAATTAATATTCTCTGAAAACATTACAGTGGGTTGATCACAGCAGCTTGACATATTCAAAAGACTTAAAAGAGTCCACAAAATTCTCTCATCATTCACTTGTTCCAAATCTGTTTGTCTTGTTTTATAACACAAAAGAAGACATTCAGAACAAAACTGGATATCTGTAACCATTGATATCCATAGTATGAAAAAGCACTGCAGTGTTTGGGTGTTATGTGTTTGTCTGAGATAGTTAGTCTACTGAAATGTGTATATTCCAAACAAAGCTAAAGCTGATTGCAGTTCTTGTCTCGCATTCACAGTTTTCAACTAGGTGCACCTGAAATTTGTGAGCGTACACAATTTAGATGTGATAAAAGGCGGGATATGTGAATGGCCCCATAAAAACTTCACTCGCAATCCTGGACAAAAATCCAATTTAGTCTGTTTAGGCTGAGTTGGGCCACCATGTTTTTGGATGCCATTGTCCTCTTTAGTAGCAAGTATTGTCATAAAATGCTTTCTGTTGAAGTGGTTGAACAAGTTTCTGGTCAAGATAAAAGCAGACGAAAGTTCTTAAGAAACTGAACATAGACTGAATTTTAAAGCAATATGTTTGTTTTTACACTCAATGAAATAAAAGAAATGTCTGTATTTCCACTTGAAGAAGCAACCTATCTCGACAGCAGCTATTTCATCTTGCGTTCTTCAGCTATTCAAAAGTCAAACTGTATGCTGCAGTGTGATTTAGAAGAAGCATTTTTTCTTTTAAAATCTATAATCGTAACATAAATAACACAGTTACATTGATTTAGTAACTGTAATAAAATTACACAAATTTAAAATATAATTCTTTACATTACTCTGTTCCCCAAAAACGAAATAAAAATACAGTAATGCGTTAATGTGGAATGTGTTACACCCAACTCTGATAATTGTTAATTAAATGCACCCTAAATCCTTAATTATTATTATTACAATATCAAGGCAATATTAAAATTTTGCAGCAATTTCTTTTACTGATTTTTATGTTTTTGCTAGTTATTGATGTCCTAATAAATATTCATTAGAAGGCTATTTACATTATGCAATTGTTTGTTGTTAAAAATGTTCTGATAATTGTAACTGGGTACAGTTAAGTATTTGCCACAAAACAGCAAATATGTAATAAAAGTATTTCATTTATATTTCAGTTATACGGTTGAAGTCAGAATTATTAGCCCCCCTTTGATTTTTATTTTTTAAAGGCAACTATCAAAATACAGTGATCCTTTAAATACACGCTGCAGTATTTTCATTGGATTGGTATTTCAAACTACAGAGAAACAATCTCTGATGCTCTTTCCATTTTTCTTTAGCCATTTACACATTTGTTTCCCACACACTCTATGCCTCATTTCCCCCTCTCTCCCCCTCTGCTTTCTCTCTCTCTCTCTTCCTTCAGGGTCCTCCTGGTCGTCCAGGTTTGCCAGGCGGTGATGGAGCTCCCGGGCCTTCTGGCACCATCCTCATGTTGCCGGTAAGCTCATCCAACCCCTACATTTTCAATTATTCAGATTAACCACAACATTGTCCACCCCCTAATCTTAGACAAACTACCAAATTTATCTCAGATCAGCTGCAAACAGCCACTTCACCACACATCAACTAGGTTAAGAATCTACTGAAGGGTCAGTAGCTAGATGAAAGATATATTAAGTAAAGCAGGCTGCTGTTTACAGTGAAAGTAAGATCAGCAGGGGGTACTCACCATTCTGTGTGGGTTCCTAGTGCCCCAGTGTAGTGATGAGGACTGTACTGTCAATGAACTACATCCTGTGGATGAGACATTTAAACTGTTTGAACCAAGTGTCTAATCCTGTACCTTGAGCATATTTTAGATCACTGGAGTGAACATCTTTGTTAGTCCATGGAGTGTACAATCACACTGGTTTTCTCACAATATCTGACAACGAGTGAGAGAAAGACATGTGCAATACTACGCACACACTATATGCCTGCCATATATTATGCAAATAATTTTTATTTTAAGTTTAAGACATTTAAATAAATACAAAAACAAACAAAAACATAATGATTCTGGTTTATAAAATGCATGGCTTGTTAGCGTGACGTAGCTTTTTTTATTGTCACAGATAACAAAAATGAATATAATTAGTATTGTCATCATTTTAAATGCAGCAAATTGTTATATTAAATATTGACTTGTATTCCATGGACATTTCATTTTCTACTTTTCTTTTTTCTTTTTTGAAATCTCAAAACCTCAATCTCAAAATCGTTAAAATCTCAAAACTGCCCTGCACTAAAATAAGTATTGTTGTTGCTTGTTGCAACTACTTATTTAAACTGAGCTGAATCAACAAACTTATTGAGGGTTTTATGGGGACAACTCAAATGGTTTATGATCAGTCTACTTAAATTTGTAAAAGCACTTAAGTTAATTTAATCGATTCGTGTTTGGACAACATGAATAAACTGCATAACCCAGCATTTTTACAGTGTATGGTGTGACTGTCTTAAACAGTTCAATAAATTACAGCTCTTATGAATTAAAAAAGGAAATCATAAAGGCATTTATAAATACATTTTTAAAAACATGGGCACATTTTGTCACTGAAAACCATGTCCTCTGGAATCAGAAATTTCACAGAAATGTCCAAAAAGTCTGACAAGTCATGATGAAAAATACGTCATTTATAATTTCATGTAAAATACGTAGCATTATGTAAAAATAAGAGTCCTACAATTATGATAAATCACTCCTGTGCTATTTGTATATTATTAAGAGTCTTATTTGGAATTATATTTTATGTACTATCACTATAAATGTTAAAAAGAAATAAAAAAGAAAATCATACATAAATACAGTGAAGTTTATATATATATATATATATACTGTTCTTCTCCCAGTGAAACAACTAATTGCATTTAAGTAATTCAGAAGTTGATATATTGATACATGTATGTAGCAGCTTTGATCTCTCCACTGCAGCTCAGACTAACATGGTGGCGCCCGTAACCCATCATTGATCAAATGATATTTTTAGGGTGTTTAAATGACGAAACTCTTGTTTTTACACATAATTACACATATTTAAAAAAAATGGAATTATACAGATATTTTACAATGTAATTAGGATGTTTCTCAGTATTTGCATGAAAAAAGGGGGAAAGAAATGAAGGCATAAATCATCTGGGCTCAATGTGTTACATGATAAACTTGATACATTGCCATGGAACATTAAAGCAATTCTTTCCTAATAGTGATCATATTAAAACGAACAATCAAACAAAACTCACACAGGAGTATTAAAGGGATAGTTCACCACCCACAAAAAAATAAAAATAAAATAAAATAAAATCTGTCATCATTTACTCACCCTTGTCTTGTTGTTTATAACACTGTTGAATATCTCTTACACCTTAAACCACAATTAAGCCTACCCATACCTTCAAACCCAACCCATATACCACCTCAATAGCACCAGAAGTGTTCTGACATACCTTATGAACACATTAAGTACATTGTATTTATATTTTAATGTAAGTACATAGTAGTTTAGGATACCTAATAGAGCTTTTTGCAACTTATTTTCCATGATTATACATGAATTCACAGTGGGTATACATCATATACTTCATAGTTTTACATCAAATAAAGAGAATGTCCAGTGAGGGATAACTTAAGACAGTGCAGCATCTGGTGTTTGACCCTCTTTACTAGGCATATTCAGAAACTCCCAGCCAGGTTTGTTGGAGCTAAACCAAGGTCATGTCTCTCTGTGGTCATAAAAAAAAAAAAATCACAGGATGTCCTTTAAAAAAGTATGGGTGTAGTCCAGCATTATGGCCTCCTTACAATCCCATATTTACTCCTCTTCTCCAATAAGCTGGTGTGCAGTACATATGGCAAGACATCCAGGTGAATGCTGCACACTGGTAGTGCCCAAGGAGATTTCGCCCTTCAAATGTAGTGCTTTGACCGCTGAGTGCTATATAAATGAGATGAATTATTATTATTGTAAACGTCCAAGTGGGTTATGAATTGTTACAGCTGTGCAGAACCCCACCCGGTAAACCCAATGCCCTCACGCTACACCCAACAGTCTACAGTAACTTTAGGCAAACTGGCACTTTGCAGCCCAGATGCAAACCCATAATGACAAGACGAGGCCGCTTTGTATTGCAGCGGCTAAAGTTCTAAATTCCAGTGTGCAGTAAAAGTACTGAAATAAACCTGTGATTTCTGTGTTTGTGAACGTTTCTCTGACAGTTCCGCGCCGGTGGAGAATCTTCAAAAGGCCCGGTTGTGTCGGCACAAGAAGCTCAGGCCCAAGCCATTCTCGCCCAGGCGCGGGTCTGTATCATTGCTCGTGATTTTTGTTTTGCTTGAATGGGTAGGAGGAAGTTTAAAGGCACTGTTAAAACCAAGACAGGTTTATAGTTCTCATAACACTGTATGGTACATGGAAATGTATCCACTGCAAGTAACATAGCTTATGTGCTCTGCTGCAGTTAATGGCAGGTTTGGAGTCATTTTTTTTTTTTTTTTTTTTTTTTTTCTGTAGTTGACTATGAGGGGACCTCCAGGTCCAATGGGATTGACAGGACGCTCCGGCCCTGTGGTGAGTATCTGTGTCATATAATCCAACACTAAAATTGTTCAGTAACTAATTTAAGAAAGCGATACATGCAATAAATGAAAACTTGAATTTTATACTGTATATGTATACAGTGCTCAGCATAATTAAGTATACCCCATTTTGAAAATGATTATTTTTATCTGTTTCTCAGTAAATATAAGCAATGTATTTTGGTGCATTTAAACAAAACTTAAAAATAATTAAAATAATATTTTAGTCACCAAACATGTTTGGAAATTGAAAGACAATACAATTAAAATCAAGCAAAATATTGCAAAAAAACAAAAAAATTAATTACAAACTACAAAATTTTAACATAATGTTTCTCTTTTTTTTGCTTCTCCTGATTTTTTTCTCTTTTTATTTTGTATTTAATATATTTTTATCAAATTTAAATTTGGGTGTACTAATTTTCATTATCATTATGTTATTTTGTTAGATAAGCTCCAGATATGGCTTCAGAACTGACTATTCTAATGTATATGCAAAAAAAAAAAAAAAAAAAAAAAAAAAACATTTATAATTGTATATATAAACATATGTTACCGGCAATGTGGGAAATCCCTGTATTGTATAGAATGGCTAGGAAATGTATAGAATGCCTGATGGTTTCAGGCAAAGTTTGAAATACTGTATCAGTTTTTTTTTTGTAAATATTTTGCATTCATTTCCTAGGCAGTATATAGAATGACAAGTGTAATTTAGGCAACGTGTGTCAGAAGAGCACAACAAAAGCCTTTATTGATCATTACGTATTTTAAAGTAAAAAAAAAAACGTAATAAAGCATATGATGATCTTACTGAAAAAAAATGACAGCAGATAGGTATGTGTTACAAATTAAATGACTACTGAGATTGAAGAATGTGTTACAATATCGTCTGTGATGTGGTAGTGGCACCTTATACTGGCAATCTGTTGTCTTAGAATAACATCCAACACTCGCATGTTTTAATCGCCATCATCAAACAATGACCCAAAATTTAAATTAATATTTTCTTTAGGATGCTTTACAATATTATTTTTGTGCGTATACATTCGATTAATCAGTACTGAAGTCAAATCTGGAACTAATCTAGCAAAATAATTAATGATAACAGCCCAAAAATGTATAGCCCAAATTTGTATGTTTGTAGGGGAAAATATTAAATAAAAAGGTAAGATATCATTTAATAATATAAAAATATTTAGAATAAAAGAATATTTAGAATTTAGTTGAAATTTAATTTAAAAATGTTTAGTTGAAATTTAATTGGAAAAAAAAATATATATATATTTATATATAGAGAGAGAGAGAGAGAGAGAGAGAGAGAGAGAGAGAGAGAGAGAGATATTAAAAATAAATTTTAGTCATCTAACATAATAATATTTAAAAAAAATAATAATAACAAAACCGATTTATTAAACATATGTATATATGTTTAATAAATCTGTTTTGTTCAATGCTCCAAAATATATGACCTATATTCACTGAGAAATGGATAAAAATATCAATTGTAAAATTGAGTCAAATTTGTTCTTTTGTTTATTTTTTTTTTTTACACATTTTGTTTATACAAATCTATTATATATTTACGGCAACACAAAAGAAAAATATTTGTGTTATGCTACTTGTATATATTTATATGAAAACAATAAATAAATAGCCTGAATAGCTGATGTTTGATTTAAAAACAATTGTACATTTGATTACAACTGACTAAATGTGTTCATTTCCAACTTAAATTAATTCCAACAAATATTACATAAACAATAAAGAAAACTATTTTATGAACTTAAATATATATGAAAAAAATTAAATACATAAACACAAATGATTGAATTGAATTGAATTGAATTGAATTGAATTGAATTGAATTGAATTGAATTGAATTTAATTTAATTTAATTTAATTTAATTTAATGAGAAACACTGATGAGCCGTCTGCTGCTCAAAAATACATGTTGCATGCATGCCAAGCTTTACTTTCATTGCTGCCCCTTTTCCTTTCCTGTATCTTTCTTTTAAACCCAACTGTTCAGATTGTCACACAAATGCTGATAGGAACATGTGTTACCTTCATCTCGCTCTGATTTATGGTTTGGTGGTTTATGGCTCTTTGGTGCTGAAGTCCTTTCAAGCTGTCTGATGTTTATTTTCATCTTCTACTCAAAATACCTTTTGTCTTTTTTTTTTTTTTTTTTTGTTTCTGTGAGAGGAGTGAGGCTCGGAATACCACTCGAATTTCTCTCATTCTTTTCCACAAAATCAATAATGCTTCAGAAGCCATGGCGGCAGGATGTGTTTGGGTAACTAGTGTGTTTGGAAAAGTGTGTGAGACTTAAAACCAGTGTGTGTGTGTGTGTGTGTATTTCAGGGTGGTCCTGGTGCACCTGGTGCTAAAGGGGAAAGCGGAGATTCTGGCCCACAGGTGACTATGTTTTTCTATGCTTTTACATCTTCTTTCAATAGATTTAATTGTTGTAATCTTAATTTCTAACGCTGTTAAGACATAATATGCTGTTGGGTTTTTATTCTAGTGTTTGTTTTGTAGTCACTTCAAGTAAAACCAAACTTTTATTATGATGGGTTGTCATGAAGTCATTTTCTCTGTGTACATAATATGATGGTGCTTTTCCTAAGTTATAAACTGTGAAAACACTTGTTAATTAAAGAAACCACCATGATTGTCACATGTGGCTACAAATATAGTAAACATACTTGTCAACATTTGGATGTGAAAATAAGGCATATACCCTTCCCCCCACCCCCTTCCCAATTCCCCAAATTACTAAATGAGTTTATCTTGAGATCTTTCATTGTAAATAAACAGATAAATTGTCAGTAATGTTTTATTATTATTATTATTATTATTATTATTATTATTATTATTATTATTATTATTATTATCAGATAAGTCATCAAATCTCATTAATATTTTTTTAACTGTAAAACATTCTGATTAAAGAGCAACAAATGAATCTCTTTTTTAGATCTTTTATTTGATTACATAAATTAACAGAGCTGTCACTTAAAAAATGCACACATCTAACATTATAATGAAAGCATTCGATTGCTTTCCTATCTTTTTATGCTTTTTATGCATCTTTAGATGTTACTAATATTTTTATTTATGTTCTGTATGTCTGTTCAAATACGCACCCAAAAACCAGACTTTTGCTCCACTTCAAATCGTGTGTACAGAATCTGTTTGGGAAACGGTATCTATTTATCACTATGGAGCACATCAGCTGACAGTGGCGCACTGCTACTTGACTGTTTTGAGGATTGCATAGAAGGGGCGACGACATCTGTAATGGAATGAAAGGGAATACCTCTTTATTTTATGACACAGAACATATTCACATTTAAGAGCATCCCTTGGTGGTTTGGCGGTATGGGTTGCGTACATAGAGGATCGGCTCTTTAATGTTTATTGCCACCCTTCATAGAAAGATTGAAAATACAGGAGAAATACGGGGAAATATCTTTACAGGATGATAGAGGGATAGAACGGTAAAATATGGAAAAATCCTGATAAAAATGGGAGGGCTGACAGGTATAGTACACTGTAAAAAAAAATCTGTAATTTCTGTAGTTTTTTTTTTTTCTGACTGCTGGGGTGCCGGAAAAAAAGTGTAAAATAAAGGCTGTTAAATTACAGAAATTTACCGTAAATAACAGCTGTGGAATTACAGAAATTGACATTTCTGTGAAGGAAATTTCTGTAATTTAACATCCATTATTTTACAGTATATTTCTGTAAATATTTCCGTTATTTTATTATTATTATTTTTCCGGCACCCCAGCTGCCGGAAATAAACCGTTAAATTATAGATTTTTCTTAAAGTATAGTAGATAAAATTTTTGTGCGGTAAAACGTAGAAACATCAAAAAAACTGAACAAAAAATTATATTCATGGACAGTAGGCCACATGGTCATGTGATTGAGCAACGCAATTTCACGGCAATTCATAACTTTTTGATTTAGTGGCTAATTCGTAAGAATTCGTACGATCTAATTCCTACAATTTAGTACAATTTGCTTATCACCCTATGACGGTTGGGGTTCGGGGTGGGGTTGGGTGCTATGCCTGCTTTTTAAAATCATACATTTTTCGTAAGACTGAACTCGTATGAATACGTACAAAATAGCCACTACACTGACAAAACGTAAAATACTTACTTTTCTTTGTGAGATCAGGCTGGATTGTGTACAGTTCTAATTTAAATGACATTCTATACAGTTAATTCAATTTTATCCACCATTCCACCAATGTTTTTTTTTATATTGCAAAATGTAAAGTTTACTAAGAAGACGCTGTACTTGTGGAAAGTTCTTAATGCTTATTACTGCCTGACAATGTTTTCCTTTAACTCTCTCATTTTTACCTGCTTTTAAATTCAGATAAATGAAAGTGCTTCATTGAAATCCTGTTATAATTTGCTGCGGGTAAATGAACAGATTAGTTTGTTGCATGAGAGATTTGCTTTGCTTCTGCACTCACAGGTGCAGCCGCAATAAACTTTAATGCTGTCAAAACAATTAGTATGTTGCTTTTCATGGTATAGCGTATATCCAGTTGAACGCAAAATATGCAGGAGGTATAAACACTTGTCTGCTGTAATGTAAAAAAAAAACAGTACTTCTGCTCTGGAGCGAGTCTTAGTTAATGATGAAGAGGGGGGAAAGTGTTTATTTTTGTGAAGTTTGGAAAGTTTTTGTAAAAGATAATACTATTAAAAACCAAGGATTTGTTACTTGTTATTTCTCTTTAGCTTTTATCTAATTGACAAAAGTACAAAAAAATGTATTGATTCTGTTTATTTCGATGGGTGCCATACCATATAACAAATTTGGGAGATGTACAAAGTTTTACATTAAATTTCCTTTGTAAAGTCATACAGTGTTTAATTGTTAATTGTGTGGAATTCTCTGAGATTAATCAGCAAAGTTTTGCATGCAAAATGTTTGCCCAATCTGACATTATACAAGCCTTTAGCTGCTTAACACTCAGTGATGATCTTTGTCCGGTTTTCTTTTATTATGATGAGCCATGCATTTTGCAATAAGAGACAGATCTAGACTGGAGGCTAGTTAAAGCTCATTTGTGTCTGTAGCCATGTTTCCATTCTAACATGAAGCAAATCTTTTCAGAATGAGATGTGTTTTCATCAAGTTGTTAAAGCAGCTGACTGTAGTATTGGTAACCTCGTAACTAACAGTAAACAAGGCAATCATAATGCAGACAGCTGATTGGTTACATGAATATACTGTTCACTAGATCAGAGTCAGAGCATAGGGAGAGTTACGAATGTTTGATTCATTAAAATGTTTGATCGTCACATGATTCATGGATAGTCAAGTAGTTCAAGTGCTTTGCGGTTAATTCAAATAATGTTAGTTTACGTTAAATACATGCACATTCTTAAGCTGCGTCCCAAATCGCATACTTATGCACTATTCTACGCCATTTTGTAGTATAAATAGTGTAAGTAGTGCGTTCACACTGAAAACTCTAAAAGTAATAAATGCACTTTAATTACCCAGATTATGCAGTTGTTCAGCCTGTAAAATGAAGTGTGGAGTGATGGACACTTCACGCACTCAACAACCGCAGGTTTGCCCCCGTAGCGGAAGGGGCGGAGCTATCGGACGCACATGTTGGATAACTTTATTTATTTTGGATGGTTAAAAGAAAATTCTCCTACGAGAGTTATTATAGCGCCTCCCGAGGGTGAATGCGGTAATACTCAAGGCAGGTATTTTTGATAATTCAGTCGTTTATTTCACTGATTTGGCAAACGTCATTAGGGAAACGGTTTGAATTTCCGCTTTGTAAAAAAAGAGTAGTGTGCCATTTGGGACGCCACTACATACATATACTATCCTGTTGAGTGTGTAAGTGCATAAGAACATAATGCATGAGTGCATAGTGTATAGTGTGCCATTTTGGACGCAGCTTTAGTTTTAGGAATTTTAGAACCTTTCAGAAGTGCAAAACCAGCCATATTCAGCTGTAACTCGGCTGTATGTGCCAACTTCAGGGAACTAGTAAGAGACTCCATAAGCCGCCATTGCTGTTAAAAAAATATTCCATTAGAGTCAATGAAGTTGTCGTATGACTTTGATTAGAGTTTATTTAGCAAATGTGTTTCCATCACCCATTATTTGCATTAACCTTTTTTTTTTTTTACTCAATTCCAAAATCATCTCAAGCGATCAAAAAACTTATTTATTTTTTTTTTGTTGTTGGCTTATTTCTCATGCGATACTTCAAATTGTGCATTAACACAGTGAAAGTAATCCAGCTAGTGTAACCATTCTGTTGCAGCACATGCAGAATGAATCTTAATCTAATGAAAATGAGATTCTTATTCTCATTACCATGACAGACATTTGCTTTTCTATCTGTCGCTCAAGAACGTCTGGTCTTTGAGTTTGAGATCGCAATTGCTGTTTTCCCCATGTGGACTCATCTGACACAATAACACTGTCAATTTGACTATCTGAGATTATCTCTTCTCTTTTTTTCTCCAGACCTTTTGCACGAAGTAAAGAGTCAAGCAGTACTTGTAAAAACAGAGATGCTCATTTTTATACTAAAACACAAAGCCTCATGTATCACCAGTTCGCCAGGAAATACCATACATTTTTCACTTTTTATTGTTCCTCCATCCCAATGTTTTTGGAATGTGTTGGTACTATTAAAAAAATACATTTAAGCTTGTCAGTGAAAACACTGGACTTTTTTCTTTGTACTTTTGTCAATTAAGTAAAATAATTATCACTCGGCTCTGAGATATTTGAATCTCATTAGTCAGATGAGACATTCCATTGCATTTTATTCCCAGGTATTGATTTCTGAATGTAAGCCCCCTGTTTGCACAACAACAGATTTAGGTCAAAATTTTTATATTGTTTCAGCCTTTCATCCAACATTGTTGTTGTTGTAAAATCTCAAAACACCGCCCTCACATAACTGTGTTGATTGGCAAAATACAACTTTTTGGAAACAATGTCACCTTACCGCATAAGAAAAGTGCCTCACACATAACTACAACAGCAACATTGGCAGATTAAAGCACTATTACAGCAAAACTTGGTAATGCTGTCAACCAGATGAACAGCGAAGACAACAATTTAATTTGTCATACATTTTTAGATAAATTATACATTTGCCATCATCTGCTTGTGTTTATCATCTTGTCTGTACTGAAGACGATATACTTCATACTAATGCTCACTACATTATTTTATTTTAAAACAGTGGTATCAGAGATTTCTTGAAACCATACATGAATGGACACAGAACTTTTAGAATCTACAAAAGATAAAAAACTCTCTACCGTGTTTCCGTAGCATATTATTAAAGGCGCATATGGGTTCTTTGATTCATCTCAGCATTAGTGAATACATTCATATCTATATTTATATGCTTCTCTTTCACACCACTGTTTTTGACTTTTTGGCTCTATCTTGTGACGGAATATTAATAATACAAGTAGGTTAGTGTAGCCTGGATTCAGCCATTTTTGTTTCTGTCATCTATACTCTGTTAAAGCACCAATCAATTATTAAACAAATGTTTTAAATGTAATTGTGTAGTTTTGTGACAAGTGGGATAATGTACATCCAGGCAGTTGTTTTTACAGAATACAGGCAGATAGGTTTAGTAGCATTAGTAAAACTACCGCCTAAATGTTATCCTTTACTTATTACACGACTGTCTGGAATACTCGATTTTAATCAGACAGTTGTGACATTCCAAGGTATGTTATTTCGAGATAACAATCGCTGAATAACACAGGCTCATAAATCACCTTGACCATCAGTGAATCGCATAATTGTACATTATCCTTTAATTATTACATGACTGTCTGGAATACTCGATTCTGATCAGACAGTCGTGACATTCCAAGGTATGTTATTTCATGATAACAATCGCTAAATAACACTGGCTCATAAATCACCTTGACCATCAGTGAATCGCCTAAATGGACATTATCCTTTACTTATTACACGACTGTCTGGAATACTCGATTCTGATCAGACAGTCGTGATTTTCTAAAGTATGTTATTTTGAGATAACAATTGCTGAATAACACAGGCTCATAAATCCCCTTGACCATCAGTGAATCGCCTAAATGTACATTATCATTTACTTATTACACGACTGTCTGGAATGCTCAATTCTGATCGGACAGTCATGACATTCCAAGGTATGTTATTTCGAGACAACAATGGCTAAATAACACAGGCTCATAAATCACCTTGATCATCAGTGAATGTGTTCAAATCCATATACTTTCATCCACATTCATATGTATTTCTTAGTATAGGTTAGTATATGCTTCATTTAGCCAGTTTAGTCAGCTTTACGTTTTTACCTGTTTGGCACCATCTTGTCACTGAATAATGCTCAGGTTATTGTATGCTCCATCAGCTATTTTAGTTTCTGTCAGCATTTGTGTTTAATTAAAGGATTGATAAACTATTATGGCCCAGAACAATATTTTTTGGCAAAATAGCCGCATAAAAGGTGGGATAAAGTACATCCTGGACAGTTGTTTTCGCAGATTAACATCTTTTTCTTTATGTTAGGCTTTATTCTATAACAACCTCATAGAACTTGGAACTGGTGTTGTAAAATAAAAATATTATTACTTTTTAAACATGGCCAACGATGAATTCTACTTGTCCTTTAGCAATAGACAGCTTTACTAAAGATGCTGTTATGTGTTTTCTTAAGGGACCAAGAGGACTTCAAGGCCCAACTGGTTCACCTGGAAAACCTGGCAAGAGGGTAAGAATGGAAAAATCTGCTCTAGCTGTCCTTTAGCCTCACTTTTTTTTTTTTTTGATGAGATGTCATGCACAGTACATAATACATCTGCAACACTACTGCTGAAATACTGCAAGGGCTACATGCAAGTGGCCTGTTCACTCTCCAACCGCGCACCCGATTTTTCCTTCAAACAGTCTGCATCTATTAGCTTTGACCTTAATTTACCTGTGTGAGCTTTACAGAATGACAGATGTCTGCTCGACCAGCCAGCTTTAGTGCCAAACGTGTCTCAGATTCTCCTTTGACACAGTTTATTCACAGTTTTGTAATAAATGAGTCAAATTGCCGCGGTAAGTCAATGCTGTAGACTCAACACAGCGCCGTCTTTGGGTTTTTCTCATTCGCTTCATGTCTTCTTCTGTCTCGCTTTGATTCTAAAACACATGTTATGCACATTATAACCTGCTTTTAGCACATAGCATTAGGCTTATGATACGACTGTGTTTTATAGGGCCGAAATGGAGCAGATGGAGCCAGAGGAATTCCTGGAGAATCGGGAGCCAAGGTAAAATCATGTCTGGTGCAAAATGTACACTTTTACATCGTTTACACTTGAGTTTGTTTTTAAAACAACCTCCAAGGTGTTGGGAATCTGAGGTGTGACTGTTACAGTAAGTGTGTCATATACTGTTATTAACATTAGGGTGATATGTAATTTTAATAAAGTATTAAAATCTGATTTAAACTGATTTGTTGCATTTCTAATAATGCAGCATATTTTTTTCACAGCTTACTTATCGTAATGTCTTCATTAATTGACTTAAAGCTTGCTTGTTGTTGTTATTATTAATGTTATGGAATTGGTATGAGTTATTTATAAAGAAAAAGATAAGTCTGATAGTTTGTGGTTTAGGTCTATAATTTTTCATTTAATGTAGAAGAGGGAAGCAAAAAGTTAAATTTTTTTTTTGTATCTGTGTTTTTTTTTTATGAAGAGGATTATTATTGCTGCATTATTTCTTTAAATATTTACTTTCGAGTAGTAAAACTTAAACTAAAACTTAAAGAAGTTTATATAACGTTGTTATGATGCTGTTTTTAAAGGATTAAATCTGATGATTTGCAGTTCAGGAAAAAAAATCTGGCATTCTGATTAAAGCAATAATATACCACAATAAGTAAATTTTTTGTAATAAATAAAAGTGCCATTAATGTAGCATATTTATTTCTAAGTTATTTTTTCATCATTCTGAAATTATGGGACAACTATATTAAAGAGGTTTAAATTACATTAAAAGATAATTTCTAAAATCTGATTAATATGTGTTTAATGCAATATGCTTTATGACTCTCTGTGGTCATTAAAAACCCAATGGTGCTTTCATGGCGCCTTTGTCCTGTGGCTGCCGTTGCATCATCCAAGTAGAGGCTACGCACTGGTGGAGGAGTGGGAGACCCCCCTCTCATGATTGTGAAGTGCTTTGGGTGCATGGCCATACACGATAAATGCGCTATATAAATACACATTACTTATTCCCATTCAATATATTTTGAAATCCACATTAATTTTGCTGATTCTTACAACATTTTAATAATAATTTTACTATAACTTTATTTTACAATTATATTATGTTAAATATTAAACATTGCATTTAATTTAGCTAAATTAATTATAATTTCTACGTTAAAATATAAATTTAGCATAATGTGTATATTTGTTCTAATATTTGTAGTTACAAATTTTATTTTGTAAGTTTAGTGTTTCACAATTGAGATTTAAGATTATAGATTATTTTATTTATTATAAAGTATAAGATTTTTCCAAGATTATTTATTTATTATTATATTTTTTAATCCAAAACTCTAGTTTTTAGAAAGAATACAGAACATAAATACTTAGCATTTATTGAAATAATAATAATAATAATAACAACAATGCCAATAACAATAATTCACTTATACATTAACTTCAACAGTCCTTTATTCTCATTTAACAGGGCGACCGAGGATTTGATGGCCTTCCTGGTCTACCTGGTGAAAAAGGACACAGAGTAAGTGCAACGCTCCGTAACATTATTATCAGCCTGCTGTAAATGAAAGTGATTTATTCCAGACAGCAAAACACAAGCCTGACCACCACCCTTGCGACAAATGTCACTTTAATACTCAATTATCAAACTTATAGCTTGTCTTTATAATAATGAGAACAATTCCTGCCTGGTTTGGTTTTACCCCTCTGTGCTTGTTTTCATACCGAAATCTACTGTATTTTGTTAACTCTATTTGAATAGTTTCTTCTCGGATCCTGCCAAAACCAAGACTTGTACATTTTTACAAGTGTCGCCGTACGTTAACGTTGAGTGCTGACAGTCCCAGTGGCAGAAGTCGGCCTCATTATAGCTTCAAGCGGGGGTTGTTTGGCAAACCAAAGCTGCCCTCGTGAGGCCTAGCGGATTGTGGCTAGCTTGGCCTAGGCTGCTGTAGTGAAAGAGCCCCACAGATCACAGGCAACTGTGTATATTTCCAGCCAGAGTCGCTGTCTTCCTAATCCTGCCCTGCGTAATTACAGGCCCCGCTGTGTTATAGCCTCTTCTTATAGGGATGCAGGCTTATAAATAGTGGCCATGGGCCCTAACAATACATGGAGCCAAAAGCAGGGACGGTAATAATACAGTTACTCTTTTTTTTTTTTTTTTTTTTGCATCCTCTGTCATTTCATCTGTTTCGCTTTTTTCTTGCAGGGCGAGCAAGGTCCCATCGGCCTTCCAGGCTCTCCAGGAGAGGACGGACCGAGGGTGCGTTTGTCCAACTTACACACACTGTAAAACAAATTTGTTAAGTAACAGTTTCCATATTTTATGATTCACAAGGGTTTCTGTTTAATTTATGGTTGTACAGTTGGAGCTTGATCTTCTCTGTCGACTTTTGATGTTGAAAATTTAACCCTATAGTTTAACAAAGTGGCTTTTATTGACATTTTAGTAGTTTGAAATAATATAATGTATATAAGCAATAATGTATAGAGCAAAAAAAATCTGTAAAATAAAATAAAATGTACTGGCAGTTTATTATAAAGTTTTTGTACCCTAATATGTAACACCAACCCAGACAATATATCACTTTAAACTTCAGTTCAATTTAATTTACCTTTATTTGTATAGTGATTTTACAATGTAGATTGTGTCAAAGCAGCTTCACATAGAAGATAATAGTAAATTGAAGCAGTGTAGTTCAGTTTTCAGTGTTTATGTTCAGTTTAGTGCGGTTTAATAATCACTGAGAGTCCAAACATTGAAGAGTAATCCATCGATGCACAGCTCTAGAGATCCTGAACCATGCAAGCCACTTGCGACAGCGGCAAGGAAAAAAAATTTACCAATTGCCGAAAGTGAAAAATTAAAAAACCTTGAGAGAAACCAGTCTCAGTTGGGCACGACCATTTCTTCTTTGGACAAACGTCTTGTGCAGAGCTGCAGTCTAGGCGCCATGGGCTGAAAGCTGGACCTCAGTGAAGACTCGTCTAAAAATTTAAATAATGTAGTTTCAAATATTCATCTTAATTATTAAAAATGTTTATAAAAGTCAGTTTTTTTAACTTTACAAGGTTAAAAGTTCACAAATTCATAAATAAATGGGTGAAAATTTTAAAATACAGACAGAAAATGTGGAAAACTGCTAATTTATGGATATTTTACAGTGCATGCTAGTTTTTCTTTATTCTGAGCTGTATTGTGTTGACAAATGTGTTTGTGTTTTTGTCTGCAGGGTGAGGATGGTGAGATTGGACAGAGAGGAATGCCGGGAGAAAGTGTAAGCATCTCCATTTACACCTTCTTGTGTTTCCCAGTAAATTGAAACACTGAAACTTTTTTTATGTCAAAAAACAAACCATAAATAAAAAGTAAAGGGTTTCTTCTGCTTTCTTTCAACGCCTAATCAGAACACTGTATGCGTAGGTGCAGCAGATGTTAAACTAAAGTAAACAGCTACAGTTTGGTTGGCTAACATTTTAACATTTAAACCAAAATTCAATTAGGTGTCAGTGTTAGGAAGGACAGCTCATTGCCCAACAATGTGCAGTGCAAGATTTACAAAAGGTCAAAGTCTTTTTTGGACGACTTTGATGAAAGGTTTGATCGACATCAAATGTTGAATACTGTAAACTTCCCATGTGCTTTTGATAGCTTTTACCCTTCTTTCATGAACACTTCTGTGATTTGTCTTTAAAATAAAAGCATAATTACTTTTATAATAGATTAAGCAATCATGAACATATTATAAAAATAGTTACTCACACTTGTTTGGTGCGACATTGATGTCGGATCCAATATAGTGAGAACATCATTGTCTTCTAGATTACATTTTTCTGAAAATCTACTTTCAGAGAGGAGTTGTGACTTGCTTGTAAAGAAGTCTGTGTTAAACTGAAATGAACAAATTACCAAATTCTTAAAGACATAGCCTGGAACAAACATAAATAAATAAATAAATAAATAAATAAATAAATAAATAAATAAAGTTGATTCAGTGTTTCTTAATAATGGAATCAGACCTGGATGTTGCTAGACCCAATTTACTGGGTCAAATACCCCAGTAAAAATCAGCTGTGTGCCAGTTAAAGCATTTAGAAACAATTTACTTTTTATTTAAGTGTATTTATAAGGAGTGGTAATCCCAGAATAAAGATGTCATTTTCTATGTACAACCTAACCAGCTCTTGTGAAACCAATATATTTTAACCGAAAACAAACTGATGCCTGCACACAAAATATTAAAGTTTAAATAATAGTATGATGCTTTTGATGATAGAGCTTTATGTCTAGCAACGCCTCTGAATCAGGAGTAATGTAACCTAAAGGCTGCTTTTCCACAACTTAGACTTTAATGCAGAGCAGCTAAAGCATTTATGAAAAGTCACTAAATACTGCTGCATGATGTCATCTACTAATTAACATATGTATGATGTCATTACAACCTATTTTACTCTACAGTAATTTTATTATTCCTCACAGACAAATTACCAAGAACTGTTCTCATTTGCATATGAAGGGTTCAGATGCAAAAGCTTCTAAGTGCTATCTGCAATTTTCTGGGGGTAGATTGTATTACTTTTAATGACAAAGAATAGTTTTTTTTATCACCTTTAAAATTAAATAACTGTACATAAACGTAGAAGACTGAGAAAACAATTTATTTTAGAAGAAAATCTCATTTGTTTTTGCCTCTGAACTCTTCATGTATTTGTTTTTTTTAATCCAGTCACGCTTAATCTGCTGCACTGCTAAGATCCAGTGTTGAAAGCAACTGTCCAACTATTTTTTTTTCGTCTCCAATAATTAGACAAAACATTCAAATATGGCCTAAGTAGCTCTAAAAATATTTAGAGTTTCAGCTACATTGAGAAAATCACTAAGGTGCCGTTAACACTAGTGTGTTTTCATCTAAAAAAGCACAAGTTTTGTTGCAGTAGCACCTGGTGTCCACAGTATACTCCGGCATCTCTAACCAGTGAAAATGGAGTGTTCTGATCGCTGTTGTTAAGTTTCAGTGTAGACAAACTGAAATGCAAACTTTTTGAAAATGGAGGTATAGGTATCCACAACTGCTCTCTGATTGGTGTTTTGGACAATTCCATTGTTTATCAAGCCTGTATCAAATGACCATTATACAAGTGGAACTGCAAGTATAGAAGACAGACAAATAAGCTTATGCACAGTGAGCTTTTGAGGTGTTTTTGGCCTTATAGTGTGGATGGAGGACATTTTTCATAAACAATAAAAACGGCCGTCTCGTCGACGCCAATAACCTATGGTTAATGCCAGTGTTGGGAAACAAGTAGTATATTACAATCTATAGTCACTTTTAAAAAAAAGTAAATAAATGCGTTAGTTGCTTTTAAAGGGTGCAATGTGAATATATATGTGCTATGTTATTTTATTTGTACTTTTTTTAAAGAGATAACATACACGAAAATTGTAATATATTACTTTTCACCCAGCACTGGATAGTCAAGTTGCTCACGTTGATGGACTTGTCTGTAAATCTCCACTTCTGTTATAATAAAGGGGAAAAACCCATAAAAGATAATGATAAAAAATGGTAGTATGAGGAGCCTTTTCATTCGAAAACACTTTTAAACGAAAAGTTTCACTAGTGTGAAGTGTACCATTTATTTTTTTTTAGCTGTCATCACTAAATAAATTCTATTTTAAGACAAATTAAAATACACAACATTTATTTTGAATTGAATCAGTATTTCAAAACATTGCAGTTTTAGCTGCATTTTTGGGTGAAAGTTCATAAAAAAAACAGTTGGCTCCCTGTAGCTACAGTGCATAACATTTATTTTTTTTAAACTATGCCTAATTTGTGATCGAGACAGGTTAAAACTTCAATAATATCAGCATACTGAGTTTTGACTTGGATAATTATAACCGTACAGTCAGAAAAGCACATTAGATTTAAGAAAGGACATCCTAAATATGTTTTTTATTACTTAATACACAAATGTTTCCAACCAGCTATGTAATGCAGAAACAAAGGCTTGTCCATGGGTCTACGCTTCACTTAGATTCCACATCTTCAGGGCTGATTCTGTTGTTTGTTAGATCTCTGCTGATGGACTATTTAGTCAAAGAGCAAGTGAACTATGCGAGACCATTAGTGTGTCGTGACAAGCGGAGAAAGAAAGAGGGAGAGGGAGAAAATAGAAAACTGCAGCGCTGCTTTCCTGTACACAGCCATTACCTAAATGAGCAACAACCAAAAAATACTGGTATTTGAGGTAGGGCGTTCCTGAGGTAGAGTGATTATAGTGGGCCGTCATGGCCTTTCAGGTATAAAGGGATGTTTTTTAACCTCATGTTCTATTTTGAGAGATGGCGAATAGATTTTTGATAACATCATCATTCTAAATCACATTTTTTGTTGAATTATACAACTAATTTCAACTGAAATGCATATGTTTTTCCTTGTAAATGATTACTTATGTTTGGAGTCTCTGATATATCATCTATTAAACATTCTTTATTCTTCAAAATTTTGAGATTTAACTTAATTTTTTAATAATACTCAACAGAGATGCATTATTTAATCCAAAATACAGTGAACACTTTGTTTCACTATCATCGTCGCTTGAAAAAGCACAAGCATATGACTCCTCAGTAATGATTGTTGTAATTATTTTGTAATGTAATCATAATTTGCTGAGAATAACAAATCAAAAAGCACAAAACATTGGTCCATTATTCAGTTTTAATTTCACAAAAAAAAAAAAAAAAAAAAAATATATATATATATATATATATATATATATATATATATATATATATATATATATATATATATATATATATATATATATAAATATATAATTTATATATTTTTATATTAATTTATAATTTTCTTATATACTTTAAATTATATTATTTTATTTTATTATTTAATTAATTAATATTTAATTAATTTATTTTTTGTTTAATTTGGTATTTGTCCAATTTTAGGTACCTGTTATCAATTTATATGATGTGATTTTCTTGTCTATATATATTTATTATTCAAAATATAATGCTTTGCAGTTTTAGGGGGTCCATACTGTACATGTATTGTTTGGCCTGGAAAAGGTTGAAGACCACTTTTACTCACTATAATGTTCTACTGAATCCTCCTAACATGTGGTTTTTGATGATCATCAGGGTCCAAGAGGTCTGCTGGGCCCCAGAGGATCTCCTGGTACTGCTGGACAGCGTGTATGTACTACCAGACTTTTTCTTAGTCACAAATATTCTAATATCATGAAACTGACAGCCAGACACTTGTGTTTTCACACATGCAGGGACTGACTGGTTTGGATGGACCACCTGGCCCTAAAGGAAACATGGTAAGTATTTGATCTCCTCCTGTTCAATAGTGTGAGTGTCACTAAAGTGAGCCATTTCTGAGTTTTAGGACTCTGGTTAACTGTCCCATGCTGACAAACTTTAACCTCTCTGAAACATATGTGTTGTCCTGAGCAAAGGTCAGCCTAAAGAAGGCTGTCAGAGAGACCTAATGGCAGTGTCAGGACAGAGCTAATGGCAGTGTCACTGGAGCAGCAGGAGGCTGATCTTTGACCTGGAAGTGCTGAAATGAAGAAAGCATGAAGTCTGACACTAAAATATGCAGCGCAAGAAGTGAAAGATTCATCTGGGGATTCAGTGTTTTCAGCTTGACTATTTTCCCACACACATTTGTTAAACAACTGAGGTCCATGGATGGATGGACGGACGGGCGGACGAATGGATGGTTACAAATATTGGACAGATGGATGGATGGATGGTTGGATGGATGTATGGAAAGAGATGGACAGATAGATTGATGATGGAAGGATAAAGGATGGATATATAGATAATGGATGGATAGATGGGTAAATTAATGATAGATGGATGGATAGATATATGGATGGTATATACATGGATAGATATATAATGATGAGTGGATGGATGGATGGATGGATGGATGGATGGATTGATGGATAGAAAGATGGATGGATGGATGGATGGATGGATGGATGGATGGATGGATGGATGGATGGATGGATGGATGGATGGATGGATGGATGGATGGATGGATGAATGAGTAGATAGTTAGATCTAGATGGTTGGTTCAATAGATAGATAGATAGATAGATAGATAGATAGATAGATAGATAGATAGATAGATAGATAGATAGATAGATAGATAGATAGATAGATAGATAGATAGATAGATAGATAGATAGATAGATAGATAGATAGATAGATATGTATATATGGATGGAATATACTTGGACAAATAGATAATGATGGGTAGATGGTTGGATAGATGGGTAGATTAATGATAGATGGATGTATAAATAGATGGAATATACATGGACAGATACTGTAGATAATGATGGGTAGATTGATGGATATATATATGCAAGATAGATAGATTGGGCATAGTTTGTTTGCTCTGTGAGTTCATTAGCTATTATCCACCACAACAAAACCACCACTGGTATATGTATTTTAGCTGCTCTTCCTTTACTGAAGGTCTTACTTAAACTGCATCTGCCCTTCTTACAATTATGCAGCGTGTTTTCAACTTTTACACATCTCCATGTCTCTTCATCTTTGCCAGTGGTTTAAAGCAGCTATAAGAGATTTTATTACAGTAGGCTTTGTGATTCAGAAAGGAAGGCCAATGGAAAAAGATGGATTTGCAATTTGCACATGTCTGCTGTTAAATGTGTAGAGTATTTTTGGAGTTTGAGGTATCGGGGCTGTTTTTCATATCTGTGTAAAATAAAGCAGTGGAGTCTAATGATAATAGTGTAGTTCACTCAACTGTTTCTGTTAAATGTTGTAACAGGGTCCTCAAGGAGAGCCTGGACCTCCTGGTCAACAAGGAAACACCGGACCACATGTGCGTATCTGTTCATCATCTCTCTTTCTCTCTCTCTCTCTCTCTCTCTCTCTCTCTTTCTCTCTCTCTCTCTCTCTCTCTCTCTCTCTCTCTCTCTCTCTCTGACTTTCTCTTGGTCAGTGTGTGTTTTTATAATCAAGGATCTTCACTTCTTACTTTCACATGAAATCTAAATTTTTGTGGCTTAGATTTGAGGTCATCTAATGTTCTCCTAGACAGAAAAAGTCAGGTGCATTTTTCAAAAATAAATACTGATAATAAAAAAAATTAAGTTTTATGGTTTGAAATGTAATGTATATAATAGGTAAAGACTATCAACATCTAAACGTTTGAAATAAAATAAAATAAATAATAATAGTATAATAAATACTTGCTAAATAAATAAATAAATAAATGTTTGTACCTATATCACATGATGAATCCAAACTGAAGTAGAAATTCCATAAGTTGATTTAAATAATAATATACAGTAAAGAGGATGGTATGTGTAATACTCACACGCATAAAATTCTCCATTATGGCCATTTAAGTAGGTAGAAATACTCAGAACTTATAATGAACCTTATGGGCTCTATTTTAATGATAAAGGTGCAAAGTCTAAAGTGCATTTTGCAAAAGCATTAAGGGCATGTCTGAATGCACCTTTGCTATTTTAAGGACGGAAAAATACGCTTTGTGCCCTGTCACATGGTCTGTCAGTGTTGTGCTTATTCTCTTAATGAGTTATGGGTGTGTTTTGTGCGTAACAGGCATTAATCTAATCAGAGTCTCATCGTCCATTCCTTTTAAGAGTCAGTTGCGCCATGATGCATTTGCTGGCGGACTTTGTAAGTGGAAAAACTAAACGCTTCACTAATGAGTTAAACAGACCATCTGCAGCGTGAGGATAAAGAACAAGCCTCCTCTATTCGGCCTCTTTACTTTCTCTTTAGTTTACTTTTACTCTTTACTTTACTCCTTTACTTTCGTAGATAAGAAATAAATTTTGTTTGTTAAGCGCAAAGATTTTTTTCAAAACCAATTTTGTTTAAATTCAGTTCTAATTTCCAGCAAATTAATATATGGACAATAATAATTAACTGTAGTCAATTAGTTATACTAAGTGTAAGGATTTGGACCTGCATAGGTGCACAACTATCGCGCTCTGCACTGAACTTTAGACCATATAAAGACCAATATAGTTGCTCAATGGTGTGCTCTATTTCAGTTCTTCAAATTAACAATGTGCCAACAATGTGCCTTAACACACCTCCTGTATAGATCTGCACACCCATGAGTCTACAAATTGGTGCAAAAGGATTTGATTATTTAAACAACATGGCGGAAAACGTGAAAATTAGGGTTGCGCTGGTCTGAAGATAGCAATAAATTGCACCAAACACATCTTGCGCCTTATTGCTCCGAGTATATGACAGGGCCCAAAGAATTTTAATGAACTTTAAGAACTTTTATGCACTATATTAAAATAACTATAAAAAAATTAAAGTTAAATTTTATTTTAACAAAGATATTAACAATTAAAATGGTAAAAAATGCTGTCTCAGTAGTTATACCCACAACCTCTTCAGCAATGTTAAATTTGTTTTTTTTTTATTTTAGGAGTCAACAGAAATAACACTACTTTGTATGAACACCAATTCAGCAAATTCAGCTTTGAATCACTGGAATAACATTTTGACTAGTGTGATATAAAAAGATAGAACACCCATGTAGTATCTCTCTTTCAACTGGAAATATAATGCGTCAACACAAAAGCAGGAAACACTTCATTAATTCACCACTGTTCTCTCTCTTTCAGTGAAAATATTAGTAAAAGTCAAGAAGAAAGAGAAAACTGCTAGATCTATTAATCCACATCCATACTCCGTAATTATGTTTCGGTTATACATTGCTCATTTACTCACACACACACACACGCACATAATAATAATATATCCTGTTCAACATTCTTCCTCAGATTTGACTGCGATCTGCTCACACAGCTTTTTCCAATATAAACTTTGCTCTCACATTTCCCCAAGTTGTCCCATGTCTGACTTCCGAAATCTTGTCTCACAGGGTCTGCCTGGTCCTCAAGGCCCCATCGGTCCACCTGGAGAGAAAGTAAGTTGGTGAATGAGCACTGGTCGTCCTCTTTGTTATTACAGACGGCACTTTTTTTTTCCCTTTCCTAACCCTGTAAACGATTAAGCAGACGACTCCTCGCTTTCCAAGCTAGAAGATCATTGCTGACTATAGGAAAACCACACACACACACACACACACACACACACACACACACACACACACACACACACACACACACACCTCAAGACTGGCTAATGCTTGGACAAGCTGGAGATCTGCTTACACACATAACTGTCATTGGTTAGTCTCTCAGACAAGCATTTTGCCGGGGTTTCTGGATGAAGGCCAGAGAAAGAGTCTGAAATGTGACTCCAGGAGTGTTTCCAGACGTACCATATGATTAGATCCCTTCCTTAGTGAGAGGGTGGGGGGTTGGGGTCTGCTTAAGGACTCAAATCTGTTCAAATATACCAACAATTACTTGAGTAACACAGGTGATAAAGGGGAAAAAAGCATGATTTATCAAAGCTTGCTAAATATGAGTTAAGACTGTAAACAAAAATGAGTGCTGTTAAATTATTAATTACAACTAATCACATGCAAAAGGAAAGTTTGTTTAGATAATAATTTTCTGTGTAGTGTGTATTTATGTATGTATTAATACATAAAATTTATTTACATGTCTACAGCAAAGAAAGAAAGAAACAGGAAGGAAGGACGAAAGAAAGAAAGTACGAAAGAAAGGACGAAAGAAAGGATGAAAGAAAGAAAGAAAGAAAGTTAGTAAGTTTTAGTTAGTTAGTTAGTTAGCTCATTATTTTTAAAAGATAGATAGATAGATAGATAGATAGATAGATAGATAGATAGATAGATAGATAGATAGATAGATAGATAGATAGATAGATAGATAGATGGATGGATGGATGGATGGATGGATGGATGGATGGATGGATGGATGGATGGATGGATGGATGGATGGATGGATAGATAGATAGATAGATAGATAGATAGATAGATAGATAGATAGATAGATAGATTATTGGATGGAAGGAAGGAAGGAAGGAAGGAAGGAAAGAAGGAAAGAAAGAAAGAAAGAAAGAAAGAAAGAAAGAAAGAAAGAAAGAAAGAAAGAAAGAAAGAAAGAAAGAAAGAAAGAAAGAAAGTCGCTGGTTCAAGCTCCAGCTGGGTCAGTTGACATATCTGTGTGGAGTTTGCATGTTTTCCCCGTTTTCGCGTGGGTTTCAGGTTTCACCCACAGTCCAAAGACATGTGCTATAGATAAACTGAACAAGCTAAATTGTCCATAGTATGTGCTTGTAAATGCAAGATGCATGTTTCCTAGAGTTGAATTGCTGCTGGAAGGGCATTCGCTGTGTAAAACATGTGCTGGATAAGTTGGCGGTTCATTCCACAGTGGTGTCTACAGATTAATAAAGAAACTAGGCCAAAAAGAAAATGAATGTATGAAAATAATATAAAGTTCACGCACACATATATTAAATAAATAAAAAAAGTGTAATTAAACTTAAATTAAAAAAGGCAAATAAACTGAAGTGTCTTCATTGTTTAACTCTTTACTCAGAATATAAACACACACAAAAAATGAAGATGCTTCAGTTTTCTTGTTTTTTTTTTCTTTTAAATGAAAGGACAGTAGGTTAGCTTGATAACCTTTCAAGCTATTTGTGAGGAAGTAGATCAGTGTTTCTCAACCATGTTCCTAGAGGGCCAAAAGCTCTGCACATTTTCCATGTCTCTTTAACCGAACACACCTGATTCAGATCATCAGCTCCTAAGCAGCGATTGAATGACCTGTGGGAGTGACAAATAATGGAGACATGCAGTGTTAATGGTCCTCCAGGAACGTGGTTGAGACACACTGATGTAGATGATGCATGCAAGACGATTGCATTTTTGTTGAGACATTCTGACCCTGAACCCAAACTAACTTTTGCAGTTTTCCAGCTGTGATTCTTGGAGATTTTTTTGGCCACTGTAACCAAGTAGACCGATACATAAGTCTTACCTTTTTGGTTTTATGCTTTTTTTTTTATGAATGACTGAGTGAGTTTTGCCTGTGTGTTTTCTCAATTTCCTGTTCATCCAGGTATACTAAAAAATATATGCTATAAATAGGAATACAATTCAAACATATTTTGCTCATGTGAATTTATAGTGGTGCTATTAATTATGGTAATAATTATTTAATTATAAATGATGTTTTCATTGTGCTTTTGCTCATATTTATTCAGTGTGCCAATATTGGGAATTAATTATTGTCTAAGTATTAATTATTTTACTAATAATGTAATACTAATATAATTTGCACAATATAATCCAATAAAATACAAAACACTGTAATGGTACTGTAACATGTTATATTTAACATAATAGTAGTAGTAGTAGTAGTAGTAGTAATAATAATAATAATAAGAATAATAATAAATAGTTTATTTCTGTATTCTGTGATTCACAGGTGTTTTCTGTTTGTTTGTGCTTATGAATTTCACTAGGGGACCTTAATCTATGCATTGTTGCCTTTTGATGTTTAAAATTGACCAATATTTTAGTATTTTGAAACAATACATTGTTTAAGAAGTAATATATTGAGAATTAAGTCCATAACATTACATTTTTTCTTCTTTTTGTTCAAATTTACAACATTAAGCCAGGCAATTTATAGAATAAAACTGTTAAAAATGTCAATAAAATACTTTTTTTTTTTTTTTTTTTAATGTTTTGATATCAAAACTCGTTGAAGAAAAGATCAAGGTCCCATAATGCTATTCAAAGGCATAAATAAACAGGGGGAAAAAAACGTGAATGACAAAATAAAGGAATTCGGTAATTAGTGGATTTTTTTACCACATTAGTCCAATAAACATTCATTTAAAAAAGCATTAAACAATGTACATCATTTAAAAAAAAAAAAAAAAAAAAACAGAATTGTTTAAATGTTTTTCATTTTTTATCTAATTTTTTATTTCATTCTTAATTACAGTATTAGATTGCTTGTTTTTCAACTCTTTTAACTGTGCATTTTTCAGTATCTTTTTCTGTAAAACTGTTAAATGTTCTTTTAGTATAATAAAACAGCTGCTATACAGTTACAGATATATACTACCTGTATATCAATTGAACCATTCAACATTTTACAGCTTTATGACATTATGATTATCTTAACATAAAAAAATAAAAAAAATAAAAAATTACAAAACAACCGTAACACTACCATGGTTGATATATAACTCTAGAAGTGGCGCAGTGTTTCCAGACGTACCGTATGATTAGATCCCTTCCTTACCAAGAGGAAAAAGATGATAATGAAGTGCTTTAGGATTGAACTGCTCATAAAAGTTGCCCAGTGAATCACTTGGGCGCACCAGCAAGTGTGTGTGTGTGTTTTCTTCGTTCTTTTCTCACATTTTCTTTCTTTTATAGGGTCCCGCAGGGAAACAGGGTCTCCATGGACTCGCTGGAGCTGATGGGCCTCCTGTGAGTTGATTTCATTTCATAATTCATCTCTTTGTTCATATTAAGAATATTTTGCACCATCATGCATCATTAGCCATTAAACGGCTCGGGGGAATATGTGTGTTTAATTCACTATTGAGAACTGAAGAGTTGGCATACTTTGCATTCGTGAGTTAAAACTGGAATGACAAATGGAATTTACTGCATTACAGTTCAAAGAAATGCAACGCAGACACAACAGAGGACTTTCATTAGGCCAACAAAACATCAACATGAGCAAAAACAGAGAGCTTCTTTTAGCTCAGGCTTAGAGCTTGTTTTATATGGACGGATTTTGATTAAAAGGCTTTCAGTTTCCATTTTTTGAATTGCAGTATGTTTGGGTTTTCCATAGAATTGTATGCATAATGTTGAAGTCAGCATTATTGGCCCTCCTGTATAATTAGCCCTATGTATATATACCCCCCCAATTTTTGTTTAACGAAAATAAGTTTTTTTAACACATTTTTTTCAGACATAATCGTTTTAATAACTGATTTCTAATAACTGATTACTTTTATGTTTGTCATGATGACAGCACATAATCGTTTACTAGATATTTTTCAAGCTACTAGTATTCAGCTTAAAGTGCGATGGTTTTATTAGGTTAATTAGAAAAGTTAGGGTAATGAGGCAAGTCATTGTATAATGATGGTTTGTTCTGTTGAAAATTAAAAAAAAAAGAAAAAAAAAATGTTTCCGGGGGCTAATAATATTGATCTTTAAATGCTTTTTTAAAAAGATGTAAAACTGCTTTTATTCTAGCTGAAATAAAACTAATAAGAGTTTATATATATATATATATATATATATATATATATATATATATATATATATATATATATATTTGTTTGTTTGTATGTTTGTTTGTTTGTTTGTTTGTTTGTTATTTTATTTTAATTAATGTTATTTATTTCTAATAGTCATTTAGATGACTATTGGTTACTATTATATAATCTTTTTTTTTTTTTTTTTTTAAAGATAGCTAAATGTTAAGGATTTTAAAGATTTCCTTGTTTATCCATAAAAAATCTTTATTTAGTTATTTATTTATTTGCAAATTATATTTTTTTTAACTGCCCTACGAAAAAAAAAATGGATTGCACTCCTAATATTGCTAGTTAACACACTCAACACACTTTTTTAAAAATCATCACATAGTTTCTAAAATGTCAGCCTCTACTAAATGGTTGATATGTCGATTTATGGTAAAGTAACAGAATTACAACATATACTATGAAAAATGTGAAAATATGAAGTGTAAAACCCAGGTCCCACTGGAGAAAGAATTTTTGAATACTAAATCATCTTTATTTTTTAAAATATTTTAGATTCTCATTTAACATGCTTAATCTATTTATTAATATTTAAATAATCCTCCGAAACATTTAAGATTTTTATTATTATTATTTTTTAAATCCAACCTCATTCTGCTACATTATTTTTTAAAATGTGTTTATTTATATTTTTATTTATTTGATTTTTTGTTATTTATTTGTTCCTCAGTTAAGAATTCATTACTAAGTAGGTTTCATCGCATGGTGACTTACACCAACTTATTCATAACACATTCTTAATACTGTGATTACTGTATATTACTTTTCACTGACCCACAAAACTTTTACGCAGCTGTGTTTACCTCACATTCATTTCCGACTTTCACTGATGCTTCTTTTATTTGTAATCCTGTCACAGGGTCATCCAGGAAAAGAGGGTCCTCCCGGGGACAAAGGAGCAGCTGTGAGTGTATTTTTAGTTGGTCTTGAAATGAATTGTCACCCAGACTTCCAGTTATCGACCACATTTCAAGTGTAAAGCCACAAATTGCCCATAAGGTACTGCTTTGCAGCTGCCTGAAAGCTTGGTAGCAAAATTACAGCCATTTCTTCCTCTCTGTAATTAACACTTAATGTGTGGCCCTTTCAGAAGTTTAAAGTTAAATCAAAAGTTTTTTTAGGTGTTTGTATCTATTCGATATCACCTTTTTATTAAAAGGAGAATTTAAAAATGAGGAATAATTAATTTATTCTGCTGTCTGCATGTTTCAGTTGAAACTACAACAAACGTCAGACTAAAATGCGCTTTTAAATGCACTTCAAAGGCTCTTTAAGGTTATCTATAAGCTAGCATGCAACAAAACAAAACAAGATTTACATTTAAAAGATAAGAGCATTCTAAGTGCTCAGGTTCTCATTTCCACCAATAAAGAATCAAAGTTTTTATGACATCACAGCAGACTTTAGCTTTTCCTCAAAGCTTCTCGTCCAATCAAATGCTCTTTAGTACCTGATCACAACATGATATTAATGCTGCAGCAGAACTGGTCAGGGGGAATGAGGAGGGAAATACTTTGCGATTCAGCATAAAGACTTTTAAGACATTCCTACTCAAAACACACAAAGTTAATCTGTGTGTGTGTGTGTGTGTGTGTGTGTGTGTGCGTGTGCGTGCGCGTGCGCGTGCGTGTGCGTGCGCGTGCGTGTGTGTGCGCGTGTGTGTGCGCGCGTGTGTGTGTGTGTGTGTGTGTGTGTGTGTGTGCGTGTGTGTAATTATGTCTGTTATACAACTTGATATTTTTCTATATAATGAATGGCACATAAGCTCCATAATCACTAGCCATTTATAGTAAATAGTGTTTTTGAACATTAGTTTTGAGTGTATTACACTGTATGTATTATAGTAGTGTTTGTTAATGAATGTTACAATAGAACGTAATAATAACTATAGTGAACTGATAAACTGGTATACATACTGTAGTATTTTTTAGTTTTTTACAAGGCTAGGCTGTTTTTCAATGTCATATTATTCCAATGTCTTTTTATTCCTCACTTGTCAGCTGACAGTCACTAGCAGGGTCCCTGCGGGTTTTAAATAGTCTTAGGCCTAGTTTCACAAACAGGGTTTAGATTAAGCCAGGACTAAGGCTTAGGTATATTAGGCTATAAGCCACATTTATAAAAATGGCCTTAGAAAAATATATTACTCGGGTGCACCTGGAGACAACAAAAACGACACTGATGTATTTTAAGACATCTCACCGATAGTTATTCTGAGTTGAGACAGCTCAAACATGCAATTTAATCTTGACTAGCCTTAAACCTTGTTTGTGAAACCGGGGGTTAATGTCTTAAATTTCAAAAACAAAATTTTAGGCCTTAAAGTCTTAGATTCACTGAAATATTATCTTGTAGGTTCTAAATAATTTTAAACTGGTCTTAATTTAGTATTAAGACCAGTTAATATTTATTTATTGTAGTATTAATTAATTAAGGTTACACTATCCTTCCAACAATCCACCTCAAAAAATGTATTTTTAATATTTAAGTTTTTTATTGCAAAGAGATATAATTTAAAATAGCTGTTTGACATTTTTTTACATCAATTTCTCCAAATTTAATTACCTTTTCAGGGAAAGAAAACAATCCAAAAAAAAAAAAAAAAAAAACTACACAATTCCTCATGATAATTACATAGCAACATATATAATAAATAGACTTGTTAACAATGTTAAACTTCTAATTTTGAAAATAGTGTACACAACTTTAGTTTTCTTGTTTTGACACATTAAAATGTCAATAAAAATATATATACATTTGATTTGTTTTTTTGTGGCAACCAATCAGGCCATTAGAAATAATCAGTGTTTAGCCGTGTATATGTTTAAAATTTATTTTATATATTTATATTGACAGCAAATGGTTCCTTTAAAGAGCTTTGGCTACAAAATGAGCACTTCAAAATCTAACAACATCACTCAGCCTATGTTATTTAAAATATGCTAAATTGTGTAATAAAATTACATAAATATGCATTAAATAGATTATAACCCTTACAATTACGTCTAGAGTGCATTGACTGATATTTAAATGAATTTCTTGTATTTAAATGTTACTGTCGTGTCATGTTCAGCCAAATTGCTTCGCTGGAATCTTGTGTCGTGTGTAGTTAGCACACAGTGTTAGACTGTGTGCGCTCCTGTTTCTTTTCATTTATTTTTGAAAGCTGAGGTAAATTATCCACCGTTGCTTTCTTAACGGTTGCTTAACAGAGAGTTGGGACCTCGGTTTAACGTCTCATCCGAAAGACGGCGCTCACTGAGCAGTATAGCATCCCCGTTCCTATACTGGGGCATTAGCACCCACACAGACCGCAGGTTGGGCGACCCCTGCTGGCCTCACTAACACCACTTCCGGCAGCAACCTAGCTTTCCCATGTGGTCTCCCATCCAGGTACTGACCGGGCGCAGCCCTGCTTAGCTTCAGCGGGCGACCAAGTGAGAGTTGCAGAGAGCTAGCTGCCGGCAATTTTTTTTTGATTTACTTGATTTGTGTTGGGACACCATGATGGAATTGTGTGGAACCCAACATTCTTACAGTGTACTGTATATGTAGGGCATACAATAAATGCTTCGCACGTATGATTTTCATTGATGTAAATGAAATAGATTTGGACTCATTTTACTTGAATTATCACAGTACACACACAGTCACATAACACAGCGTGGCATAGACCACAAAACGTATCATATTTGAATTAAACACTGAATGTTGTATTTTAAAGAGGACTCAATCAGACTCAATATTGTCATATACTGTACGTGTTAGATGCACTTTCATTTGACAACTTGGACAGCTATAAGCTAAAGTCTATTGGCTATTCTTTTGAAGAGGAGGAGTTATTCAATATGTCCCGCCCTGTCTTCATATCAGTTGAAATGATGCTACACATCAGACAAAAACTCTGCATGTCAAGACACTTGAGTGGACATTTAAAACCTAATTCCGCTCTATTATTGCTGATTGATTGAGTCTTATTATGTTTGCTCTGTTATCCTGCAGGGCCAGCCGGGTCCCCAGGGGTCCATTGGTTATCCCGGGCCTAGAGGTGTGAAGGTAAACAGCTCTGATCCCCTTCGTCTCACTGCCTGTTTATTAGCTGCGTTACATGCTCTTATTCTGTCAGTTAGAAGCTTTATACACTGCTCTGTTCATTTAGGGTGCTGAAGGCGTCCGAGGTCTGAAAGGAGGCAAAGGCGAGAAGGTGAGCTAATTATGCTATCCTGTGTTTCCATTAGTGGTGAACAGATGACAGAATAACTGCTGAAACTCAAAGGCCATTTCTGCAACTGTTTGCTGTGAAAATGGAATCCATCTTTTCTGAGAGTTTGTGGTGTGGGGCTATGGAGATTTATAAGAAGAATTTATGATTTATATTTAATTATTTTGAATCATTTGCACGTTATTGTTTTATATATTTACAAAATTGTCTAATGATGAGGCTGTATACTCCCCAGTGGCCACCAAGTGTCAGTGTTTCATTTACACAGGAGATGAGGCTAATAGTTTAGTTATATTGTCTTTGTTTAAAAAAGAGCTGTCAATTATTATGAAATAGGCCAATATTTAAAACATGCTCAATTGTATATGTAGATTGTGTGGTTAATTGTTTCACTGATCTTAAGATGATTTTTTTTTTTTTTTCTCAGACTGAGCAAATGTGAACTGGCAGTTTATTCTTTAGCCACTAGATGCCAGTATTTAGCCATTATGTTCTAATGTATTTAGGATTACTTGAAATTATTACTTTTTAAAATGCTGCATTTTGTTTTCCAGCATAAACATCTAACAATATTATCTGTGTATTAATAACAACAGCAACTATTGGTTTTGTTGTTGGTGTTGTTGATGATGATGATAACTAATATGTAGTAAAATGTATTAATTTTTAGTACTGATATAATAATAGTAATTATTATTATATTTATTATTATTATTAATGGTAATAATAATGAAAGCAATAATGACTGGAGTAATAATTTATTTTGAAACTACATTCAATACGAATGCAGTTATTTAAAATTTTAATAAACGTTTAACAATTTTAATAAATACTGCCTTGATGTACAGAATAATGTTCTTTAAAACAAAAAAGGGAAAAACTGACCCAAACTTTTGACGGGTAATGTATATAAATAAAATAATACATATAAAATAAAATAAATACATAATTATAAATAATTTGTTATTATTTTGAAGCTATGCTACTTTATAATCTATAGAATTGTTGTAAACTAATAAATTAATTTGTTTGTTTATTATTTAGTTTTTTTATTGTAATTTATTTAGGTGGCATTGATAAGTTGTTTTTATTTTAATGTGTCATTTTATTATTTTTTGACAATTTTATATGTAAAGTTTTATTATTTTTTGTGTATTTTATGAAAAATAGCCTAAGAGTATAAATTATTTTATTGTAATTAGAAGAATGTTATTGTAACAACGTGTGTTATTTTCTTTTTATTCTAAATGTCAGAAATTTTATATCTTTACTAAACTTTTTTTTTTTATATTTATATATATATCTAAAACTTTAAAAATGTATATTACTGTATCAAGGTTAGAGTTTGAGATTAAGATTTTGAAAAGACTTGTATGATTAAGACTAAGTTAATTTAAACAATTAAGTAGTATTGTTAATTTATTTATTTATTTTTTACTGTGATAATTTTACATTTTACCCAAATAAATGATCTGAGTTTGACTGATTTCAGGGTGAAGATGGTTTCCCTGGGTTCAAGGGAGACATGGGCCTCAAGGGTGACAAGGTAAACACCAAACACTTCCCAGAATTCAGTTTTGCTGCATTTAATTGCACTCATAGTCACTGATTAATCATTTGTCCAAGATAATTTAGCTTTTTCTATGACCTGTTTAATGTTAAAACATTTTTGTTGTTCAGGGAGAAGTCGGTGTGATCGGTCCCAGAGGAGAAGATGGACCTGAGGGGCCAAAGGGTAAATCAGGTCCAAGCGGAGAGGCCGGTCCAATGGGCACAGCAGGAGAGAAGGTCAGTTTAAAACTTAGAATGTTCTGAAAGTTCATAAATAATGTAAAAAATATGTGACCCTAGACCATAAAACTAGTCATAAGTGTACATTTATGCATTATCTAAACTTTGAACAAATAAGCTTTCCAGTGATGTAGACTTTGTCAAGACTTTGTCAATATTTGGTTGAGATTGAGATACAACTATTTGAATAATATTTTTATTGATTATAGTCGTATTGATGAAAGCATGAATGCACAATTGGACAGGAGGTCAGGTGAGGCAGTTTGTTGATAGATATTGGTAATTGTGTCACATTCACAAGCCCTTACACTTTCGTCATCAAAAGCGACAGGACTACAATCAGGCTACAGTTGCACATGCACAGAGATTTGTTTGCTGGGGATTAAAGTTAATGATGTTGTTGACTTCACAAGACAAGTATCATCAGGAGCATTGACTATTAATTTGGCTGAATAGAAAAGAAAAGAAAAATTTATCTTCTACTGAAGAAAAAATCACATACAGTTGAAGTCAGAATTATTAGCCCCCCTTTGATTTTTCTTTTTTGAATATTTCCCAAATGATGTTTAACAGGGCAAGGACATTTTTACAGTATGTCTGATAATATTTTTTCTTCTGGAAAAAGTCTTATTTGTTTTATTTCGGCTAGAATAAAAGCAGTTATTAATTTTTTAAACACCATTTTAAGGACAAAAATAATAACTTTAAGCTAATTTTTTAATAGTCTACAGAACAAGCCATCATTAAATAATAACTTGCCTAATTACCCTAACCTGCCTAGTTAACCTAATTAACCCAGTTAAGCTTTTAAATGTCACTTTAAGCTGTATAGAAGTGGTTTGAAAAATATCTTTGATATTTGTCATCATGGCAAAGATAAAAGAAGTGAGTTATTAGAAACGAGTTATTCAACTATTACATTTAAAAATGTTTTGGAAAAAATCTTCTCTCTTTTAAACAGAAATTGGGGAAAAAATAAACAAGGGGTCTAATAATTCAGGGGGGCTAATAATTCAGTACATCTTGAATTAACAGGAAATGTATCTAACAATAGCTTTAATTCCCAAGTAATTAATTTCACTATGAAAAATGTTGTTTCTTTACATTTGTAGAAGTAAATTTACAAAATGTCTTTATGATTTATGAGTTTTACTTCATATTCTAATGATTTTGGGCTTAAAAGGAAAATCAATATTTTTGACTTATACAATGTACGACAAGACTGCAGCGCAAGACTGGTTTTGTGCTCCAGGGTCACATATAATGGCAAAGCTATTTAAAAAGACCTGCCATGGAAAAGTCAACTTTAGGTTTCTGGTGGAGTTAAGTATCTGCCTTGGATTATTAATATATGTGTGAATTAAATCCCAAAATGACACTGTATGAACTCGTAACTCATAAAATGTTTCTGAACGCCAGTTTTAAAGGGCAGCCAAATTGTCCATTACTGCCCCCATGTGCTTTTGCAGTTTGTGCAAGGTAGTCAAATACTTTATCGTTACTCTATAGGGCCTGGTGATTGTTTCAAGTGAAAACGTGCTGATGTATAGTTTGTTCTTATCTCTCTTTTTAGGGAAAACTTGGTGTTCCAGGTTTGCCTGGCTATCCTGGAAGGCAAGGACCAAAGGTGAGTGCTCACAAGCCTTCTCCTATGCATACTACAGTGAAGTACTTGAATTAATGTGTCACGTTTTTTTTTTGAGTTATTAACTATAATAATACAAACAAAATACCCATTACACTTATGTTTTCTACAACTATAGGGCATTATAGTAAAGTACAGAAATGTTACACAACTGAAGTATACAGTATTTGCACACCATGTTCTATGCAGCGAGTGCATTACAGCTACAATTACCATGAACTATAACTGCATAAGATAAATAATACAGTTTTATTCAGAGCTCTCTTTGGACAGCCACTGAGAGATTATAATTTCTCCAGATGGCAACTTAAAGGTCTATGAAACCTTTTCAGTTCAAGTCTACTTCAGAATTGTTTCAAAAAATGCTTCATGGTGGTCATAGAGCGCTCTGAGTAGAGGGAGGAGTGGGCGTGGCCAGCAGAGCAGGGGGGAAAGAAGGAAGCGGAGCAAACAACTGTCAGTTGGCTCACAAAATCGGACACAAATCGTGAGGAGAGCCACAATTTTATAGGTTACAAAGTTAAAATGCAAAAAAAATAAACAGTAAGTAATTCAATGCCCTGCTACATTTGTTATTCATTATTTCATTTACACAATTTGTTATATCATTAAAAAGATAATCATGTTTATATAAACACTATAATGAGGAGGACTTCACTCCTCCTGAATCCCTGGGTCTGAATGCAGACACAGTGGGTAGCAGTGCAGCAGGTCTCTTGCCCTATCTATTTCAACCATTAGCCCTGCCGGTAATCTGGAGGATTTTAAACGTAGGCGAACACAGCAGCACGGACAGGCGATGTGTCTGAATGGTAACAAGCGCACTTGATAAAAGACGAAGCCTGCCATTCTTCAGTTCTAGTACAGCTCTCCTGAGAAAAATGCTTGCTGCTAACCAACAGTTTTGTCTTCGGAAAGCATGTGCTCTCATTAATAATTAAGAAGCAGGGTCTTATATGATGAAAAAACTATGAATAATAATAGGAAACCGACACAAAATCACTGGAGAGGCAGATATCACTAAGTCACCTATTTTGATCCCACCCTAAAAATGATTTTACATCCAAAAGATGAAATTAGCTGACAAAAGCTCAAAATTAATCAATTTTTTTTTTTTTTTTTACTCTTGTAGACTTTTTAATTTTTTTTTTGCAATGTACCATTGAATATTTGCAATCTGTCTCTGTATGTAGCAATATGTTTAGTAAAAAATAACAACACAGACAATCTAGAAAAAACTTTCTACACATGTGATTTGTGTAAATAGCTAAATTTTTTAAATCAGAGACAAAAATAAATAAATAAGTACATTATATTCATATAAAAGGTACACACAAAAAGTCTGAATTTTGACAACAAATTTTACAATAACCACTGGGTGAAACAGAAATATGACCCTGGACCACAATAGCCAAAACTACTTTAAATGGGTCATTATAATAAAAGTATAAATTGTTATATTGTGTAAAGACCATGTTCCATGAACATATGTTGTAAACTTCCTACTGTAAAAATTACTGATTAGTAATGTGTGCTTAATTTGGACCATTTTAAAGTAAATATTTAGAATTTGGGCGACGCAGTGGCACAGTAGGTAGTGCTGTGTGTGTGTGTGTGTGTGTGTGTGTGTGTGTGTGTGTGTGTGTGTGTGTGTGTGTGTGTGTGTGTGTGTGTGTGTGTGTTTCCCAGAAATGGGTTGCAGCTGGTAGGGCATCCGTTGTGTAAAAATGCCCTGGAAAAATTGGCGGTTCATTCCGCTGTGGCGACCTCGGATTATTTAAGGGACTAAGCCAACAAGAAAATGAATGAATGAATGCATGATATTTAGAATTTGTTTTACGATTATTCTCAGATTTCAGATATTCAAATTGTTGTATTTCGGCTAAATGTTGTTTAACTTATTTATCTGGCTTTTAATATAATGTATAAGTCTCAGTTATTAAAAACAAACAAAAAAACCTTTATGAGTGGTTTTGATGTCCCGGATCAGAAAAGTGATACATAAGCTTTGAATCGAATCGCTGTTGGTTGAAAGCAGTGCAAAATTGAAAAGAATGATGGCATTAATACATAAATTTATTTCAGTTTTCACATGAAAGCAGTCCAACTACTAGACGTTAACCTTTAATGAAAGTATAAAATTTTCATTTCTTTTTAACATCGCAAGTGCGACTTTATTTATATTTCTTGACACACGGGAGGCCTGCTGTTCTCTGATAGTCTGTGCTAACAGAGTTAATAGGATCAGCTCATTCTCCATGACGTGAACTGCTTTATCTTCAGGCCACCCGGCATGCTGCGAGTGCAGGTCTGTGAACACAGGTTGTGCTGTGATGTTAGTCTGTTTATTCAGTCAGTTCAGCCTGCTGACATCATCAAAAGCATCATTTGATTCAGCATTCAGCTGGTTCACCCATACAGCCTTTCTGGTGTTTATTCAATGAGTTTTGTTTTTGATTAAATGTATCCTGTGTTGTGTTTGAATTGCAAGCAGTGTGGAGTGAAATTGAACTTGTCTGCAGCCTGCTTTGTCAGCTATTTAGCTCTGGGTATCCAGTTTTCTGTTTTTTTATTTTATTTTATTTTTTTTTTTCTGTAGAGAATGTAAGGAGTTATAGAAGTGGAACAAAGTTTAAAAAAGTTATTTAATTTTTTTGTTCATTCTTTCATTAGTTTGATGGTTTGTTCATTTGTTTGTTTGTTCATTTGTTTGTTTGTTCATTCGTTCATCATTCATTCATTCATGCATGCATTCATTCATTCATTCATGCATTCATTCATGCATTTATTCATTCATTCATTCATTCATTCATTCATTCATTCATTCATTCATTTTTCTTCCTGGAAAAAAAGCTTGAAAAGCTTGTTCACGCCACAGACCTAAAAAATAGGAAAACAAACATAACATAACCTACTTGCAACTTCTTATCTCACCATTCTTGGAATTTATTTCACAATTCAAAAACATATTTTCATAATTTTACTTTTGTATCTAACAATTTCAAATTATAAACTGTTACTGGTTACCGATCAGCTCAGATATCAGAGAAAAAAAGTTGGAATTAGGCTGCACGGTGGCACAGTGTAGCACAGTCGCCTCACAGCAAGACAGTTGCTTGTCCAAGCCTCGGCTGTGTCAGTTGGCATATCTGCATGTTGCATGTTCTTCCCGTGTTTGCGTGGGTTTCCTCCGGGTGCTCTGATTTCCCCCACAATCCAAAGACGTGCTATTGGGGAATTGGGTAAGCTAAATTGTCCATAGTGTCTGTTTGTGAATGGGTGATGTTTCCCATTGATGGGTTGCTGCTGGAAGGGCATCTTCTACGTAAAGCACATGCTGGATAAGTTGGTGGTTCATTCGACGGTGGTGACTCCAGATTAATAAAGGGACTTAGCTGAAAAGAAAATGAATGAATTAATAAGTTGGAATTGTCATTACAAACCTGCAATTGCAAGAAACATTGCGATTCAAAGAAAAAGTAGAACATTTATAGTTATTTGTTAATATTAGATATTTAATTGTTTTTATCTTCTTTATTTTTAACATTTAGCTAGTCCTTTTGCTCTCTTCTAGCAATCACTTACACTAGATTGTCATTTAAAAACAGCTAATATCAATCATACTATAACATCAAATGTTCAGCAAGTCAAACATATATATCCATATTTTGTGGATTTAAATTGTAATATTGTGTTTATTTTTTTTATTTAGTAAGATTTGCAACTGGAAAAAGCTATAAAATAATTATAATATTTTATTTTCCGCAGCAGAATAAACCACCTTATTTTAATTGATTTGTATTTAATTTTAAGCATTTAAAGGTGCATTAGGTGATCTGCCTGTGTTAGCATTAGCGTAATATCTTTGAAACATATCTCCCTCTCCTGCCATCCAAAGCCACACCTCTTGAAATCATGAACGCGCAACTTAAAGATGATAGCAGATAACTAACTAGATCATGTTGTTAGCCAGTTAGAAAACTTTGTAGTACTTTATAATACTACAATTCTGAACTAGAGACTATTATAACTAGCATGTTTTCAGTTGTGTAGCAAGCAAAGCTTGTCATAATGTACGTTTCATGCATACAAGGATCACTGGTCTCACTCTCTCACGCGATTTGTCCTGAAGTGACTACTGTATGCTTAGTGATTGGCTGGCGAGGTGCAGGAATTACACATTTTATTAAGCCATACTTACACGCTATTTCAGACCGAATATTAAGAGTAGCATGGTAAACAATATAGGTAGCACATCACAGGTTGTCTGTTCAAAAATGAACCAATGTGATGAGAATATAAAATCAACTTCAGCTCAGTAAAGCAGGCTAAGCGGAATAGCGCTATTTACTGATGTTTTGTTGTTAAACTAAATAAAAATCTACATTATCCATGCTGTAAAAGGTCCCTAATGAAACTGAATATAATCACATCAATCTTTCGCTGGAAGATTTCAGTGGCCAAACAACACTTCCGTGCATATAACTCATTCATACAACAATACAATCTTCATTAGTTTCGCGTTTCTAAAGTAAATCACCTAATGTGCCTTTAAATATAGCATTTAGCACTTTTTACTTTGGGAAATCGTTGTCGGTCTGCTGGACTCAGATCCCTCCGTTTCCCTCAGTCCTCATGTATTTGCAGTTGTCTGTTTGATTTGCTTCATTATCTTGTGCAGGAGACCATCCCGGCGAGTAAATTACTGATGCGTATCCATTGTGCATGGACCGCTTCCCCTTCTTTGCCTGCCAAAATAAGTGAACCTTCAATTTCATCTCCTGTCCTTGTGCTAACAAGCGTACACCACTCATGTTTATCGACTCCAAAAAGCTCGCCCTCTCCGTAGTATCACTCACACAAGGTTAGCATTAGCAGTAAAGTTGTTGAATTATTCTTCAAGGACACACTCGCTGTCTGTCAACACAGCTTCACTTTTATTGAAAGACCAAAGGTTTTTTTGGCAGGTGGGGGAGCATAATGGATCATTTCAAAGTGAAGTAAGAGTGTCACTTACGCTGTTTAGAGGAAAACTGCTATACTCAATGTAACTAATAATCTGTCTCTATTTACAGGGCTCTACTGGTTTCATCGGCTTCCCTGGAGCCAATGGTGAGAAAGGAGGACGGGTATGTATGCGTTAAGCTCACATTTACCAATCTACAGCCTGAATAAAGTTGTTTAAATCGTAATTTTGTTAAATTTTATTTTAAAATGCTCTTGTTAGAGTGTAACTCTTCATTTAACTACTGAGTATTATTAAGTAATTACATGTACACTCCAAAAATGACGTTTGCTATTTTTTTTATAAAAGTGTAAAGTGAGTTGAAACACAGTTCTGGATTTTTTTTTTTTTTTTTTGGAGACAACCTAATTGTTTAAACTTCAATCCACCTAAATTTGTAAAAACAAATAAGTTAACTTAATTCCTTCTTGTTGTTCCAACACAATTCATTTGTGTGGTACCCTGCATTTTTTTACAGTATACTTAGTATATGGTTGGGATTGGGGTACTATATGCCCTGCCTTAAAAGCAACAATTTGACTTTACAAAAACAATGTAAGTAAACCCATTGTAACTTGGAACTGTTAAGTAGAATTTTTATAATTATGCTTATTGTTCTCCTTTTAAAGTCAACTAATCCTTTTTACAGTGTCAGACTATTTTAGCAAGTCCGTTTTCAAATAATTACTGCAATTATCACAAAATTACATATTTGGTGCTTAAATAAGTCTATAAAATCTACAATTATAGCCTGTATTGAATTTAAAAGACACACTGTAGTCTGGAAGAGCAGATTTATTTTAGTTATTGTCATTTTGCTAGATACAGAAAACAAAACAAACAAATATAATAATAAACAAATAAAATTAAAACAAACAAATATAATAAATGTGTATTGGAATAAGTGATTAGTTTACTTTTTTTTAAGTGCGTACAATTTGCAAAGTAATATATATATATATATATATATATATATATATATATATATATGTACAACAGTTCTGTCTAGTCCTCAAATCTGATTCGCTGATAGCCGTGATATATTTAAGTAATATCACTATATCAGCAACCGTACAGCCTCTTCACCCTTTGTGTATTACTCCGCCCACATACAGCCAGCAAAAAGCAGAGACACTACTGATCTAAAGTTTAAAAGATGCTTGCTCAGCTGCTCAGCTTATGATTTGAATCCAACGCGGAAGAAAGTAGTTCCTCATACAAAAGGGTTTTTGAGACGTTCCGTGTTTGATTTTGTTTTTATATACACAATTATCCCGTCAAACTGTTGTATAAACACAATATCACACTCGTAGCAGTCCGATATGGCTGTATATCGGCACTGGTGGGAGCACTAAGGCACTCAGCCGACGCACACCTCCTACCAGTGCCGATATAAAGCCATATTGGCACTGGCCATATATATATATATATATATACATTTTTTATCAATTTTTTTTTTTTATTGTAAAATCAACATGTTTTTTTTAAATCAATTGGTTTACTCGATTTAAATAACTAATCACAGTGTGACGAGCTAGTTAAATTACAAAACTATATTACTATAGTAAACATATAACATATAGTAAACATATGACCTATGTCATCTAAAATTAAAGTGTTACCTATAATTCTGTAGTAATAATAGTAAATAACATTTAGGAGAAATGGAAGGTCATAGAATGCACATGTTAAGATTATATTGTTATTGATGTTTGTGTTTTTATTGCAGGGTATTGCTGGTAAAGCGGGTCCAAGAGGACAAAGAGGTCCAACGGTATGTTGGTTTGAGTTTTTAAGTAGAAATTCATAGGTCCGCAGGATTTTTTCTCACTCAATATTCAATCCTAATCGTGCCTTAAGCTAGAAGCACATGTATTACCTGATTAATAATCTAATGCATGATGGAAATTATAATTATATTAAGTTAAACACTATTTTATTAAAAAGGCTTATCTGTTCAACTTTCATTTAATTACATACAATCTAGTGATGCAAGAATGATCAAAGATGCCATCGGCTTCCTTTGACTTTTATAATAAGGGATTTCCTGTTAGGAAAAATAGCACTTCTGGCAAACATGACTTTAAGATACTTAATCATTTTGTTTTACAACTTTAATTTAACACACCCAGATTGAAAACACTAATTTTGTAGCTGCTTCGCTTTTTTGATTGAACATATGTTTTAAATAAATTATACTATCAGAACTTTTGGAGAGGAAGTTATGCAGTTTACAGTATGTTGTTGAACAAAATACTCAAATATCAGTGAGAAATGTTTTACCAATTATCTAATTTGATTAATTATCTAAAAATACCTATTGTAAAACAACATAGGACAGATTCTATTATAGAATTTCGGATTCTATAATAAGTCTATGATAAGATTTAATGAACATTATCCCTGTTTACTGAACCCTTTTATGAAATCTAATAATAATCTTACAATCACTTTATATTTACTGTAATAGCAATTACGGATTCTATTCCAATCTACTGTTTTAATACAAACATTTAAAAGATTATTCTTATAAAAAGTTGCTTTCATTACAGAACTATTCACTTAATGAAATGAAGAGCTTTTCTCTAAATATTCTTTTTTTCTAAAATGCAATTTTTTTTCTAAGGATTTTACATCTGAACTCTTCATATGTCACTATTTGTGTATTTACCAGAAGTATGCTCTTTGAAGTCCATTTTTCTATCTGACTTAAACTGCTTCTTCAAAGTGCCGCTAAAGAGTAAATATAATAATGGTTCAGTATTGGATGATAAAGTAATTTTGATAGAATAGCCTTTCAAAATATGTAGTGTAATTGAACTCTGCGCACACAAAATGATAGATTGCAATTAGAAGACACACATGAAATGTAAAGAAACACTTTATAAAAGCCAAAAAAGGCCAAAATAAATAAAATTAAAAAAGTGTATTTTATAATTATTTTTTAAAATATGATTTGCCTTCTGCACCTCATCTTTAATTGAAAACTGACAACATGGACTATATTTAATAAAAAACAAAAATATTTATGAAATATCTTGCCAAATAATTACACTTACCAAGTCAGAGGCCTAAACGACAGGTGCTCAAGCATCACTATAGTCCTGTCAGCACTTTTGACAGCCTTTCCAAATTTCTGAAGCCACCCAATTTGCTGTAAACGGCTGCCTCATAATTCTCTACGCAGGAAAAACCCTGATTTGTCCAAATTGGCTTGTAATACTCAAGCGTATGGCTAATAACTCTTGCTTTCAGGGTCCCCGCGGTGGAAGAGGTGCCAGAGGTCCAACAGGAAAACCCGGAGCTAAGGTCAGGCTTCATCTGTGCTCATTTTCACTAACTCAATTAGTCAAAGCTTTCTCGTAACAAGCACCTGTGACTGTGTTTCTGTTTAGGGAACATCAGGAAATGATGGACCATCTGGTGGCCCAGGAGAGAGAGTAAGTGATGGTTGAGTTATTTTTTCTGATCGAGTGTTTTTATAAGGCTTTTTCAGGTCAGGCAATTATTTTTCTATTACGTCGTCTTGTAGTAATTTGTATTTCTTCATGTTTTAGGGACCCCAAGGACCTCAAGGACCTGTTGGATTGACTGGCCCAAAAGGCCCACCTGTATGTGGTTACATTAGTTTCATCTACTTATTATTCTGAGATGTTATACTTGTTGATTCACAGTGTGAAAGCCCATTTCTGTTACATAAGACAAAAAAGAGGCATGTTTAGGTAAATCCTAATTATGACACTGTCACATAAGGGTCTACAACAACAGAGGTGAGGATCCACATGCAGTTTATTAGGAATAGTTGTCAGGCAGGTAACAGTCAAACAGGTAGCAAACAGGAGCATAAAGGTTATCCAAGATCGTAGTCAAAAACAAGTGAAAGGTCAGTACAGGCGGCAAAGAATCAATATAAACGGTAAAACTAGCCAGGGGTCAAAACATGGCTAGACAAGGCAATTAAAACGTTTCCATGATGTTTTAAAATAGAAACAAAGCTCAGCACTGATGGCATCTGATTAATCCTAAACTGCTTCAGCTGTGTGTGTTTGCAATCAAACGGGATCTGAGCCAGGTGTGTGAGTGAAGTGCATGGTGGCATTTGTAGTTCCTTACAGTTGCAGATTTGTAATTCTACCAGTAAGACCAGGGAGATGAATATTATATTTTATAAATTACATTTATTTGATGAGTATCATTTGACAAAAAGTATCATTTTACAAAAAATAGGATTTTTGTGGTGGAGGCCCTGTTTCTAGCTTGAATAGAAAGTTTGTAGATTCAGCTATGGCTGCTGAGGATGAAGGCAGGAGCGGAGCTTACCCCCCTGGACAAGGCTAACCTGGTGGTGGTGGTGGGGAGGATAGTGTGAGCGTCCGCACCAGTATCTGCAACCAAATGATTGAAATGAAAGGACAGCATATATAATCCTTGAGTCTCGTGGCTATTGGTTGGAACTGATTGTGATAAGTGACGTGACATTATGTCTTCCTGGTAGAACTAGTGCTAAAAGCTGCAAGCTGGATGGCTGGTGATTGTGACAGACACACAAAGTTGACAGAGTGAAATATTTAATAATTATAACACAGAAATCAAGAAACAGAAGTAGAAATACTATTATAAGTCAAAATCATTTTATTTTCAATATTATATGTGACAATTTTTGGCATGAAATGAAATACTGTTAAATAAAAATAAATAAAAGTGGAAAGGTCAATGCTACGACATTGCATACCATAATAACACTTTAAGAAATATGTTTTTAATTTTACAGATTTTATAGTTTTGTTTTTAAAAAAAGGTAAATTATGAGGTAAACATTTGTAAATGTTGCAGCAAAACTAATATCTATGGTAAAAAGTTTTAAAAATTAAAAGTAAAAGCAGAAATTACTACAGCGTCAATGTTATAACATTAAAGGTCATAATTATTAGACATCATAATCATAATTAGAATGTTTCCCAATTATTTTGGCATAAAAGAATCAAGTTATGAGTGTGAAAGAATCATTATGAGATATAAAAGTTATAATTATGAGATTAAAAGAGTCATTATGGTAATAAATCAAATTTAATTATGAGATAAAAGTTGCAATTATGAAAATGTACATTGACTTGAAAGGTCACAATTACAATAGTAAAAGTCATCATCATAACTTTAACTGTTAGATATAATTTAGATTTTAGATTTATTTCATTTTGTAATTCTTTCAGTTTCACTTTTTATGAAAATGTGCTTGTATATATCATCATGATTATGATTTACCATACATTTACATTGTTTATGTCTCTTATGTCATGAAAACGGGCTTCCACGGTTCACTGTACATGTCTAACTTACAAGTCTGCAAGTTTGTTACCAAGTAATTACACAAATGTGTCTGAATCACTCTCAATTTTCCAATTCCCTCAGGGGCCTCCTGGAAAGGACGGACTGCCCGGTCACCCTGGACAGCGAGGAGAGACTGTGAGCATCATTTGCTTTTCATAAGTGTTTTGTGTCTCTTGAGAGTAGAGGAACAAATGTTGTGGACAGATTTTATGTGCTGCAATACCATTTAACTGCCGGCAGTGTCAAGGAGCTACAATGCTCTTGGCAGGTTTGTCTCTCTGTTTCTAATCAAGAAGAAATGCAGCGCTGAAAAGAAAAACTCACTTCATCTCGAATGCCTCTTGAATTGTGATTTTCAAAATTAAAATAGAGCACTTGACATTCACTGGGGTAATAGATGCCACAAAACATTAATAAAATGGAAACACTTTATTTTAACGTACAAATGCTGCTGTTAACAAACCATTAAATAAGATTTTAACTCCCTAAACTACTAATTAGCTGCTTATTATTAGTTAGGAATTATTACTCTTCTTTGAGGGGAATTGTGAAGCAAAAAGGGTCACCAGTGACTATTCTGTTTGAGGAAGTTGAATCGTTTCCATATTGATAATCACATGATGATTTTATTTTACCATGCATTTCTTGAATTCGTTTTTATCTTTCACTTTGGTGTCATGGTTTGAGAACCTTTCTGTAAAGAATAAAAACACAGTAAATCAGAGTGGTCCAGTAGGCTGACTGGAGTGTCACTAGCCAGTCTGAAGGCTGTGTACACCAGGGGCCGGTTGCACCAGTAGTGCATAAGTAAAACGGAGCATAGTTGTGATTTAAAGGGACACAACAATTTACGCACTACTAAATATTTTAGTGTTTCCCCACTAAAATCCCCCCCATGTATAACGGTAAAAAAAGACGACAGCGAGATTATGAGGAGCTCGCCATCATAGTAAAGAATGATCTCCCTTTACTCAAAGCCTTTTTTTCCTCCCAAATCTTGCATTTTCAAGGAGAGTTTTGTGTTAATTGTATCCATTAATTAAAATGAGGATATCTTCATGACTGCGTTCTTCTCCCTGGTCCTGCTCTTTTCTCTTTTACATGTAGGATATAAAAAAATTCAAGTTTAATGTTTTGAGAACTTCATGTGTATTTTGCGTGCGTTCACGGCTCATGATGCAGGTGTGTGCGTCGTCTGCTAATAGTGACTGACTGTAATTTAATGTACTATAAAATGTGATTTTTAATTTAACCTTCATAGGACAGTTATATCTAGATGCATTAGTTGCAGAATGTTAAAGCACTTAACATCATTCAATGCGATTACGCATGACTTTACAGAGAGCTTACAACCTACTAACTACGGTTTGCCGTCAAATTATGTGGTGCAGCCAAAGTAAGAACAAATTTAGTTACAAACTAGCTAGTAGTTACTAAGCCTCTAGTATGGACTTTACGTTCCGATTTATAAAAGAACTTACGAATAGCTTGAGCCAACCTCCCAAGGCAGCTAAATTGAATTACAAATTCAGGTTTAAGTGACATGGCTCATCCCCTACACTCAGGAGTTTTAGCTTCTTCATTCCTGTCGCAGATTTTTAGTATCAAGCTGTAGAACTAAACAACTGACACTTGAAGATTCATTATTTTATTATTTTTAAAATTATTTATTTTCTGTTTTGTATGTCTTTATGTGCATTCGTTGTTGTCACTATGTGAGTTTTTTTTGTGTGGCACTGTTATGAAATGAAGACTCTTGACTGCAAACCAAATCTACCTTCGGGAAAAAACCAATACAGTAACCTACTATAACCTGTAATTGGGTTTAGGTATTGGGTAGGATTAGGGATGTGTAATAAAAGCATACTTTAAGTGCTAATAAACAGTTCATGTATAACTAATAGGCAGGTAGTAAGCCAGTTGTTAATGTTGAGAATTGTTGCCTATTCTGAATTGTTACCAATAAAATAAATGAATAGGTTAATTGGATTGATTAATTGGATTTGATTGATTGATTGATTGATGTATTGATTGATTGATTGATTGATTGATTGATTGATTGATTGATTGATTGATTGATTGATTGATTGATTGATTGATTGATTGATTGATTGATTGATTGATTGATTGATTGATTGATTGATTGATTGATTGATTGAAAAAGGGCAGGTGTTGCTGTCATTTCAGAAGCTGGATTTCTACATTTTTTACATTCTCTATTTTTTTATTTTACTAAAACTTTCCAATGTATAATTTGTCTTTTTTTTATTTGCAAGATTATTTCCAGACATTGGATAACTAAAAAATATATGTATTTGATTTATTCACAACAAAGGGTTTCCAAGGCAAAACTGGACCTCCTGGACCTGGAGGTGTTGTTGGCCCACAGGTGAGCAGTTTTATTAGCAACACATTGCCCTAATAAAACACCTTCTGACGCTAGTCAGAATTGGAAATAAAACCCTGTTTGATTTGGAATTGAAAGGGCTCTACGGGAGAAACTGGTCCTGTTGGAGAAAGAGGGCATCCTGGATCCCCAGGACCCCCTGGAGAGCAAGGCCTTCCTGGAGCTGCTGGCAAAGAAGGTGGAAAGGTACGATTTGCTAAGCATGATCTTTTCAGATTGCTCAAGGGTAATGATAGAGAAGAATTCATATAAAGTTCATTCCCATTTCACTATGTGTAGGTGGCTGATAATGCAGCTAATATGGAGGTGGATTTAAGTTAACTTAATATCATCGTGTCTTTCCTTGAAGGGTGATCCAGGTCCTCAGGGAATTTCTGGGAAACCTGGCCCTGCTGGATTGAAAGGGTTTCCAGGACAAAGGGGGCTTCCTGGCGCAGCGGTAAGAACAAATGAGTTAATGTCATGTGTCCCACCAAATGGCCATTAGCTACTTAACCGCCTGCTGTTCATGCAAATGCTGCGGCCTCAGGAGAGGGTACAGTCCTCACTGTAAGACTGAGCCTCATGGAGATTAACTGGCACATTTAAGGGCCATTAAGACATTCAGTAAGCATTCGAATCACTGCTGAGAATTTCCAGTAAAGGACATTGCAGTACACAATATCACCAGGAGAAGAATACGCAATACATGCAGAAGAGTTATAGACAGAAATACATTTGTTTTACATTAGTTTCATGGAAAAAAAGTGTAAAATGTGCTCAACAATATGAAAACCTAAACTTTATTTAAAAAGCAGAATACATAAATTAAATAATTTTTACAGTTCACCTTTATTTCTATAGCGCTTTTACTATGTAAATGGTGTAAAAGCAGCAGAACATAAAAGATACTGAATGGTTATCATAAGTCAAATGACATCTGTTCAACAAAATCTTTGAATTTACATATATGCACAATATTGAAAAAATCTGATATCACGATATTTCATTTTTTGTGATAGATATTGTAATATAAATACAGTTTCACAAGATGGTTTGATTAGCACTATTTAAGTTTTCTGGTCGTAAAGTATTCAGGTACAGAAATTGAATAATAATAACGATGTAAAAAAAAAAAAATACTTTTTTCTAATTTATAGTCCAAATATCTCAAAGTTTTGATTTCACCTTCAGAAGAAATAACTCCAAATGAGTATTTTTTCCTTAAAACAAGCTAAATTATCTGCCTTTGGTGTAAGTAAAATAAGCTTGTTTTTGCTTTGAATTGTAGATATTTGGACTAGAAATAAAACAAAAATAAAGTAAGATGTTTAGACATAAATCATATAAACTCTGTATGAATAATTAAATACAATAAATCTTTGTTTCACCTCCAAATATCATATATTTTTTTGTTTGTAAATGTTCAAAACTTTCTTGAAAGACTCAATACCAGGCCTTAAAAAAACATGCAAATGATAAACCCTTACTGTATTATGGTTAAACTTAGCAGTGACTCTACAAATCATGTTCAGACACAATTAAGACTCAACATTGCATATCTTGCGATGTAACTATTGCGATATCAACCAAAAAATCATGAAATTTCTGTATTATTATGGAATTTTAAAAAGGTATAATCTAGACTTTAAATGTCAGCGATTTAATTTATTTATTTTTTTGTCCTGCTCATAGTATATCAGGGATTTTTGTTTGCTTTGTCACTTATCAAAATGTAATTTTTCTATACCGTATTTTTTATATCATGATGATTTGACCACTATTGGGATGGTTAGGCTATATGCAGCTCCGTTTTATTTCTTAAACAAACTGGTAGTCACTTAAGTCAAATGCCGTCACTAGAGGTTAACTAAGGCAAACATGTCAGCATAATAAACAATTTATGAGCTTTTGCTTCAAAATACGCACTTCAAAGACTAGGTGTTAAAAGTAGACCACAGAAAAGCTAAATATAAAACTACTATTGAGCTATCAAATACGGAAGAGGGAGCACTTCACAGCCAACAATAAGTAATACATATAAATCTTTAAGAATCATTCCCATAATGGCTACTAATGTTGTGCAAAATTATATTTAAGCTAAAACCATATTATTGTTTTATTATATTAAAAAAAAAAATACTTTATTAATATATATAAGCACAAAAGCAGCCTGTTTGTCCTTCCAAACAATTCCTTCATGTTGTCCCAACTCAAATCAATCAAGTTAACCTAATCATTCTTACAAATTTAAGTAGATCAAACATAAAACAATTAGGTTGTCCCAAAAAATTTTCATGAGTTGTGTTGTTTCAACTCCTTTTAAATAAATTGTCATTTTTTGAGTGCCCTAAGCTTTTTAGTCAGTGAAAATGAATTTGATATTTGACTTAAAGTGGGAACCCTGAATTTATTTGTATTAATAAACTTTAAACTGTACATTGGTATAGTGTATCAGAGTGAATCCTGATACAGAAAGTGTATGTTACACTTCCAGTAGAAAGATTACATAATTTAGTAAAAAAAATAAAGATCAGTCTCTGCAAAGCATTGTAGCATAAAAAATAAAGAGAATGTATCAATGTTTTCAAATATGATTTGATCTAAACACCTTCATGGTAGCCCTGTTGACAGAAATAAACATGAATAGGCATGATTCAATATATCTTCTATGTACATTAATGATAAATACAATATTACGATGATTAATTGTGCCCAAAGCTTGCAGTTGAAGGTTAACTGGCATCTAATAGTTTCTGACTGGCATTTAACTATATAAATAAAACTTAACTGGGTCAAAGCAGGGCCCCTTATTGGACAGGAGCCCATGGGCTCCAGTTCAAACAATTAGGCTACTCAAAGGACATGTAAGTGAAAAGGGCGTCTCTACTCATTTTTCTACATTAACAAGATTTAGGCTGTGGGACCGAATATAATCAATTACTGTTTTGTTTTTAGTTTCTATTGTGAGTTGATGCTGAAAGTCACATTTAAAACACGAGCCAATAAGATCTCAATAAACAACTGTTGATTTTACAGTCACTCATTGTTTTATGTTGACTTTCAGTTGGCTCATATGTTTTTTTATGACTCAAATTATGACTTGATGGGGAGGAAAATGACGCATTATTGGTGTCACATGACACCTGCGCTGCCAGCATTTGGATTCTGATGTAGTAAATTGGGAAAGTGCCAGTTTGCTAAACACTCTGGGCTGTATTTCCAGTAGGCATAGAGTACAAACAGCTGGCACAACTACATGCAGATGCCACTTTGACAGCAGCTCTCATTACAGCTCTCATTATTCTCTTTCTGTCACTTTTTTTGCAGGGTCTGTCAGGTCTGAAGGGAGGCGAGGGTCCACAGGGTCCACAAGGCCCTAGCGTAAGTACCTACTTTACCATTGAAACTCTCAAAAGTCAGTGTGCAAGCTTTGCTACTGTTAGTAAAGTGACACCAGGCGAATCCTGGAGTGGCAGTAGTCAGCAGGTGGTGGATTTAATGACCAGTAATGTTGGCACTGAGAGTGCAGTTTGGTGTGTGTGTGTGTGTGTGTGTGTGATCTGAGCCCACGCAGTCTGATCACGCTCAATGAGTCAGGCTTAATCAATCTGTCCGTCATAGATAGAAACTGATTATGACTCATACATGAAATATGCTCAGAGAGTCAGAAGTCATGTCAAGATTATTAGAGATACTGTATGTCTGTATCTGCTCAATGAAGCATGCTTACATTATGATGATAATTTACATGTGATAGTAAATGCAGATCAGGTAAAACTGAGAATTTTACAACTGAAAGGTAACATTGAAAAAGAAAGTGAAACTAATGGCATCTATATTAAAATATAAATATTTTAGATGTATAAAGGTTTTGTTGATGATATAATAATTATATTTTTCTTAGAAACTATCGAGGGTACATAGTATTTTGGGTATATAAATAAATTTAAAGTGATTTTGTTTTATTTTATCATTTTTACACTTAATATAGTTGAGGGAAAATCATTAGCCCTCTCGTGAAATGAATGTTTTTACATTTTTAATTCTTTTCCAAATACTTTCCAAGTGATGTTTCACAGAGTAAGGACACAGTGTTCACAGTATTTCCTATACTCCCATAGAAAGTCTTCTTGATTTTTCCTGAAGAAATACTTCTTGAATTTAGTTTGGCTGAAATAATTTATTTTTATTAAAAATTAAGGTCAATATTAATAGCCCCCTAATGATTTCTGTTTTCAACTGAATAAAGCACTGTTGTTCAGTGACTTGCCTAATCAACTTAACTTGTCTAATTAACCTTTTTAACCTAGTTAATACATTATGTTGCACTCTAACATCATTACTAGTATCTTGCAAAATAACTAGTAAAATATTATGTACTGTCATCATGGCAAAGACGATAGAAATCAGGGTAACACTTTATAATAACTACACACTATAAATCATTTATTAAGCCTTAGCAAATAGTGAATTCATTGTTTGAGCATTAACACTGCATTAATAGACGTCAGTAAGCAGTTTATAACTGCAGATACAAATGCTGTATTCTTGACTTATAAGCACATTTAAATGTGCTTATTTATTGTATGTTCATACTTTGTTTTTGATTAATTTTTCATGACTAAATTAAGTATTGGATTATTTGCAAATTAATGGTATTTAAGAGTAGTTGGGTTTTTTTAAGATAATTCAGAATAAGTTTGTAAATGATTAATAAACTATTCAAATCAACATCATTAATCAGGCATAAAGTAATAGTTACAGTAAATGATAGTTTAATATGGCCATTACCACCGCACCATGTATCGCTGCTGCTCTAAAGGAGAAAGAGCGTGTTTTTTTTTAGGTATGACCGCAGTTTGGAACTATGCGCCAGCTGCCACAAATGGACGGGATGCAAATGGACAAAAATATCCTATACATTAGCTGTAAATACTCTGCTATTGGTAGATGAAGATATACAATAAAACAATGCATTATAATCCCTTCATTCATCATTAAAAACACAACTAGACTGCATTATTTAAAGGCATGACATTGATAGGATCAGAATTATAATTCCTTTATAATATGAAGATATTTTCTTTGAAATCTAAATGCATATTTACCTGTCAATCTTGCTATTAAACATTGCGCCTGAACGTGCTGAAAGCAGCTGTATGACTTTACAAATCTTAAAAATCATAATGCTATTAAAAATCACAATTATAACAACATTGATAGTGACACTCTCTCATAATAAGGCTCAGTCGTTTCCTAGTGACATAAAATATGTATGCAAATTGTTGCAATATCATATGTAAACAACAAACTGTTATATGCTATGTAGTAGCTTATACTTTACTAAAAGTCACTAGTAGCCTTAAGGTTCATTGTCATTGTTGTTTCTGTTAATAAATGCTTATTAACTCACTTTTTTTTTTTTTTTAACTCATCCAGTTTTGTGACCTAAAGTGAGGAGTATTTATGCTTTATAAATTCCTTTTAAATGACAATTAAAGGCTCAATGTTAAATGAACAAGACATCTTTGCAATCTTTTCTAAAAAGTAAAATTACTTTAAAGTTTAACCACTGTTGAATAACAGGAGTGTCAAAATTTAACATAAAACTGCATAAAATAACAACATTAATTTAACAATGTATTACTACATTTCAATGTTATTTTGCGATGTTTAAAATGCACAGTCATTTTATTTTAGTGCAGATTTATTTTAAATTTGAAGCACAGTTTCATTTATGCATCTTCAAATGAATATAAATGAATAAAGGCATGTATTTTCCTTTGTTCCTGTAAAGAATATAACAGAGCCTTTAATTGTCATTTACAAGGGATTTATAAAGTATAAATAGTCCTCACTTTTAGATTAGGTCACAAAACTGGATGAAGTTGTGTTAATAAAGCATTTACTAACATGCAAATTAACCATTAATATATGCCTGAATAATAAGAACTGTAAATGTTAATTTGAGTTGTTTATTAATCGTTTACTTGCACATTCTCAATAATCTATAAAAAACATTAGCTTCTCAAATTACTTTTTTTTTTAAAGTATGAAAATCATAAATGCGCCTGTAAGTCAAGAATAGAGCATCTGTATCTGCAGTTATAAACTGCTTACCAACGTCTATTAATGTAGCTTTAATACTTAATGCATTTACTATTTGCTAATGCTTAATAAATGATTCATTGAGTGCAGTTTATTATATTTAAATATTCATCAAAAATACAGATTTATTAAATTAAAAACGCTGACACAACGCTTGTAACTTTTCTGTCTGATGAAGAGCCGTGTGGCTCCAAACATTATATGCTTTGTGTCAGCCTTTTTAATTGAATATATTTGTATTTTTGGAGCTTTGGTGTTGCTGCCTTTGAATGTTTAAGTTGCACCTTTTGCGTTTTTTGGCTGAGCACCCAATTAAGAGGAATATGCGTGCTTTTGTACAGTTTTTCCTAGTTTATTATATTTAAAATGTATATAGTTTTTTTCTGCATCTTTTTTTTAAATTTATTTATTTCTGTTAATTTTCCCTTCTTCTGTATATGTTTATTTCAAGATAAATAATATAACAATATTCTACAACATAAAACTATAAAACCTGAATATGAACCCTAATAATTAATTTTGAAAATTAAATTACACAACATATTGCATTAATGTTATATGTCAATACTGTAAATAACATTAAAAAAATTAAATAGCATTTTAAAAACTTTTTTAAAGTATGAGATGTTTGTTAAACTTATATTAATATTAATTTAGCAATTAACAATAAAAAAACTAGTTTTTGTTTTGAGTTCATAAAAGGTGAAAATGATCTCTGGAATTATTATAACAATCTAAGCAGACGGTGTGAAGTGCACTGTGCAGGTCCAAATATCTAAATCTACTTTTGCTAGTTTACCGATCGGAAAAACGGTTATTTCCAGTCCGTGCCCTAAAAGGGTTTTCATCCTTTCTTTAAAAGAAAACATGGCGGATTGAATATATGTATTAAGTAAATGTGTCTGTTAGTTTCTATTCAACACGTCTGTGCTGTTGAAAGCAATATAGAGAATCCTGCTGTTCCACTATTGACTACTGAAAGGCTTGCATGGTGAAGACTCTATAATCATATATAATGTAGAATAAATTCAAGAGCGTGTTCTGCATAGCAATAACATCCTCTCATTAAAGTAACTGCTGTCTGTCTCGTCTCACAGTGCAGTACAGTATGAAACCATCAAAGCTTCAGCTGTGCGCCATGTGAAGCCCCTCTCACTGTGAGCAAGATTGGTGTAGGGTTTCATTGTCTCTTCTCTGTATATCCCCAGCAAGAAAAAATCTGTGAAATCAGGAGGATTTTGAGTCAGTGGCTCACCCACGCAAATCAGTCATCTTATCTCTGCCTAAACAGACCTCCTGCAGGTGCCCGAACTGAGTCACTCTTCTCAGAAGTTTATAATAGTGTCAATGAGAACGTTTAAATGCAGTACGCTCATAACTCGCAGAAATCATTTCATTGAAATAGCCCTCTGTTTCAGTTTACATGCACACCAATAAACCACTAATAAAAAAAAATGAGACAATTTTGTTAATTAGTTTGTTTCCCGGTAGTGATGTCAAAATGAAATGTATTTTAATACTATTAAGCAGGTGTTTTTTTTTTTTTTTCATCTCATAGGGAGTGTAAAGTGGTGACTTACAAATACACTGTGATTTAGTAAGCT